GGAAGTGCACAACTGCAACACTAGGAATAGGGACCGCCTACATATACCACTCTGTAGGACGGCTACAGGTCAGCGCGTATTTACCTTCAGAGGCCAAAGGCTGTGGAATAGTCTCCCAGACGAGTTTCAGCCTATCACTAATTTAGATGTATTTAAGGTTAAAATAAAACAGCACTTTTTAAGGGTATTTTTGGAAAACTAAGTTTTAGATATTTGACATTGTAAATTAAGCGGAAAAGCCTTTTTGAGGAGTTTAATAAAGTTATTGTTATTGTTATTGTTACAACAGTGAGCCGCTATCTCATTACAAGCAACAATTGTGATTTTGAATAAGAAATAATTCAAATGCAGAGGTTTGCGAATACTACTTGTTATATTTTACATATTGATTCATAAAATGAATAAAGAAGATTTATCTTTGATGTATTTCTGTGTGTTTTGGTGTGAATGTAGTAAGTTGACTTTTTGGTTCTATAGTGTGATCAATGTAACTCATACTATCAAGAAAACATCTCAACGATCCCCTCAAGTGCATTAGGGAGCAACAATGACAGCGATGGCTACGAAAACGTTACTTAAAAAGCAAAGTCATGCTTCAAACTTTATTGTGCTTATTCCATTTTGTTCAGTTCGTCATATGTTGGCAATTTTTTCTGGAGCTGAATTCTAAAAGACTGTATCAAAGTTCAGGGAAGAAAAATGACGTTGTTGTCTTGTGATCACTTTGTCCACAAAACATGAAATTAGGCATTTTCAAAAAATTGTGATGCAGGTGCAGAGTTGTTGTTTAGCCAATCTAAAACCTATTGCTTTTTTGCCGTTCTCGTTGACGTCACCATCATTGCCGCTATACCCTTAAGCTCCATATTACTGACTTACATCACAGAATGAAAATTACATTCCACGCTTGTATTGTGAGCTTGAGATGCCTGTGAACAAACAGCATGCAAACATGAATCCTGACAAGAGCCATAAACCATTGCAGCCCAAGGACCCTGATCAACTATAAGCCCACATATTCACAATTCACCTTTTTTTAGGAAGACCCAAAAGCTTTCTATTGTTCTAGATTTTGTCTCCTCTCAACAGTAAAGTGCGTACATAATTGGCAAATTGAGCGGAAATCTAGCCCAAACTTCAATCCAAAACTAGTCAGAATATGCACTTGTAGAGCTTGGGTATCCTGTGACTTGGTTGCGTACAATCATTTCAGAAGAAGTATAACAACACGTAATTTAAATTTCAAACTAAAGCAAATTACCTTTTAATACTCAAGCCATTTCCAGTGGCATCGCTCTTCGATTTCCGCTCTTCAGGAGAACATAGCTCGACGGCTGTAGACGCCAATCGACCGACCAGAAAGGAGAATCTTTCTGCTAAGTTTACTGAATTTTTTGTACTTAAACTTGGAAAACGATGTTTCATTCAGCTCTTGTCTACTTCTGTGGCCTTCGCGGCAGCTGGAAACAGACATAACGAGTATTGATGTAGAATTTCTCTCTTGTGCAAAAACTGCCGCCATCTTGCTTCTCTTCGGGCCCAGTCTCCCTTTTGTCGGATAAAGCACGGGCCCATTTGTATTGGGGCGAGTGAAAAATTACACCGAGCATCCAATCAGGTGCGAGCATAAATAGTCATTTTCTCTAACGTGAAGATGCCAGAACCTCCGAAGATGGTCTTGATTTCGGAGTGACATGGGCATCAGGATAAATGGGTATGATACATTTTAGGTGTCACTTTAGACTGGGTAGCGAGCGGGTAGGTGGCCGTTTCGGGGTCAAAAGAAAGGATGGAAACCGCACGTGCGAAGCAAGCGTTTCCGATCGAGTTATTGTGCGAAAGTTGAGACGAGAAAAAAAATAAAATAAAAAAGGGGGAGGGGAGGGGGAAAGAGGAGACGCCCACGACTCTGTTTTAACATTTCACGTTTCGGTTAAAAATTGACAACTTGTCAGCATAGGAGTCAGTAACGTACCGTAACTAATAGCTGAGCTCAGTCGCGCGCGAAGCGCCCGAGCGGAGCCGCAGAGCTAAGAAAAAATGTATCCATCCGAGAAAATTTAGTTATGACGTAAGCGTACGACCTCCCGTCCGTAAAGACCCTGGGGAAGGGGGAAGGGAGTCAGACGTCAGCCCGTCGGGGGAGGAGTATCTCATAACTGAAGTGAAATTTTGCATTTCAAGCAACTCGCTTGTTTCGGCGGTTAATCACATGACCGCCCGGACTTCTAGAGAGAAAAAACAACAACAACTTTCTTTCTACTAAATTTTTATGTCTAAATTAAATTAGAGAACAGAGAAGGAGCAAGAGCGAGATATGACAACGGAGACCAATTTCGTTGGAAGGAAAACATGAAAATTACATAGCGGCGGTTAGGAAATGAGAAATGCTAGCGGCTACCAAAGTAAAATGAGAAAAGCGTCAAAGTGTCGCAAAGAAATGATTTGTCTGGAGGTTTGCAGAACGGTTGAAGTGGAGTTGCTAGAAACTCACTGTCACTGAGCTATTTTCGTATCAACTGTTCCGTAGACTTCGCGCTGGAAACTCGTCTCCAGCCCATGTCGAAAGGTGCTCAACAATACAAACAGCTAAATTTGCAACCTTTTGCAATCTTTAGCCTCCCCTGCGCACTGACGTTCTTAGGGCTTCGTAAAGCGGGGAAAAAACGTCTGCGTCAGCGTGGAAGGCTAAAGAAACTTTTAATTTCATATCGCTTGTCCATGGCGGCTTTAGCCAGCTGTCGAGTACCAAAAATGTTGTATTACCGTTTATTTATCTCTAACAAACAGTCCATTTTTTTCCGTCAGTTGTTCAAGATTTGGACAGCAATAGGGGGAGGAGGAGGGTATAAAAGGTGGCCATGCACCTTAATACAAAAGTAAACTGTAACATTTTCTGTAAATAAATCTTTGGCTGTCAATAATAAAGTAAAGACCTTAGATAACATTTTTATCCTTAAATAACTGTTCTCTTTTCTTCCAGAGTGTAGACTAGTTATGTAGTTCTAAAGCTTCAGCCTAAGGGTCAGATAGGGAAGAAATTCTGCAATGATACCATTCAAATGAAACCCCTTTCAAAGCCATATGATATGAATCTGTTCGTTTTGGAAAATCTACAAATTAAAATTTGAAAAGTTTCTTTAATTCTTCAAGACTACGGGAACTCTTCAGAGATGAAGACCTCGCTACCTTTCAAAAAATCATAAAACCATAAAGCTACGCAGAGCATCAAAAGACCCTTGGTTTACAATGATACAGATCATTCGATTCTAAATCTTCAATGTGGTCAGTTGACCGATTTTGGTGCCAGTGGCTTGAGTTCCATCCTAAAAAGAACTTCAAATTGTCGAAAAGCGATGGGTCCCCTTAATAAGATTTGACAATAATGATACAAGCGCGTGACAGCGGTGTTTAATGGATTTGCGTGACTGTAACTCTTAAGGTGACTGCATGGCTACCGGAGTGTCTGTGTCACGCACTTAGCAAGTATTGCGTTTTCAAAACTGGAACCAAAATATATAGCGTGACTTTCCACAGAACCTGCCTGCGTGACCCAAACCAGGTGTAGAAAAGACGCATGCTAACATCACAACTTTCAGCAGTTGATCATACGACAACAAAACGACGATAGAAAAAAACTCCTTCAACACAGGGCAATTATCGTAGGAAAAAAGGGATCGTGAACGCAGATGTCGTCACTACTGTAAATCCTTTTCTGGAATTTGTCAGAAGGGCTTCTTATGACAAGAGCAACGTGTTTTGCGGAAGAAACAGTTCTGTTGTCATCAGCAGACATCAGTGCTAAGTCCTTTGTGGAGTTTTCGTTCAAAGCAACTCGAGCCATTTAAGCGTAGTAACATGGCGAGACCAAAAGATCTGTCAGCACCAAAAGCTGATCCTCAGTGAATTTTTGTTTGTGTTCCTGCCAATTATCATGGTGAGTTCGACGGAAGTCCGACATCACTTTCTTTACTGTTGCCTACAGAAGCAGAAAAAAAAAACACGATAAGCGAAGTACGCCTAATTCTTAAAAACTTGCTTTTGAATTGTTATATTTCTAGCTCTATTTATAAACTCTCTTCCTCCATCCCGCACCCCTTATTCCCCTACAAAAGAATAACATAAATCATTCTTTACCAAGAAAAAAGGCATCAGTTAGATCATTTTAAGGTTTATGAATAGAGGTAGAGATGAAGGCAGGAAACGGGAAGCTTCTATTACAAGATCGACCGACCTGACATCGAGGAGGATAGTGATTATGATGATGGTGATAATGATAATGATGATGATGATGACGATGATAATGATGACAATAATTATGATGATAACGACGATAACGATGACGATGACGACGACGACAAGGAGGAGAAGGAAGACTGTGGTTATGATGATAAGAGGAAGGACGATGATAATGAGAAGAAAAAAACAAAAAAAAAGGAAAAGAAGAGAAAGAAAGGCGGGGAGGAGGAGTGAGAAAATAAGAAAAGTTTACGCAACGACCAAGACGAAGGCAACAGCATCGACAAAACAATACATCTCACACTTTTTTCAGATTTGATACATTTCGTCGTCGTCCTCTGCTCAGTTACGACGTGAAATGCCCTAATGTCACGTGTTTTGGAGGACGAGGGCAAGCCGCCTTACCTGTATTGGATGCGGGTCATGCAGATGCTCGCCAAGATCCAGCAAAATTTGTGGCATCCAAGAGGGGACGTCGTACGGAAAGGCTTGGACACAACTTGCTAGGCCCAGCACTCCGGCGTGACGGTGGATCAAGGCTGGAAATAAAAAGACTCAAGTAAGTGAAAAGCACGGTCAGTTGGTTAAAATTAACAAGGACAAGAATGCTTACAAACAGACAAGCCAAGTTTTAAAATGAGGACTGAAAAAGAAAGTATTCGTCTAACGATATCATCTTTATTTCCTTATCGATCAAATTAGTATACTTGGAGCTTGTTCCATTGTTCCTGCTTCACTGCCTTTGCAGTACCCGAGTGTGTGTATTTGTATAAATAAACGGGGACTGATGTTCGCAGTCAGCTTTCCCATTTAACACGGAATGATTCATTGCTTTTTTGATGTTCACCATTTCAACAATAGGGAATAGGGAAAACACCCAATTACAAGCTAAAAATGTAACACTGCGCTTTCGATCAACGGAACCGCCAGTGAAAAGCGGTATTTTAATTGGTCAGTCCTCAGACCACTAAAATGTCACATACAACTTGGGTATTACCTGCGTCATTGTTCAATCCATTGACGCCTATTACACCTTTTTTCTTCTTCTTGAGCTTGGTGTTCGCCATCTTGGTAAATTGTTTCTAAAGAGAAGTAAACAACACTTATAAGCAGGGTTTTTTTCACCAACGGCGCCTCTGTTATTGGCTGATTCGAGGTGAAAGGATGAAAACTGTTCTCGCCAAAAGTCTGTAAGTGGGTCTTATGGAAAAATCTGTAACGTCAGAGGGTAACATTCCACTGATTTACTCGCTAATTTAGATTCCTATTTTGTTTACTTTTGACACAACAAAAATTTGACCCAGCTGCGACGAGTTTAACATTCCGTAGGACGTGGAGCGGTAAAAACTATTCAAGGAAGCCGCCACGCATGAGTGCTAGCTAGATACCTCGGATTTCTGATTAAAACATTCGCCCATGTAAGGAAATCTGAATTCCACGCCGTGGATTCCGGAATTCCAGGTACTGGATCCCGGATTCCTTGTCTGTGGAACCTGGATTCCGGATACCAATCCTCAGTGGAATTCCGGATTTCTTGAGCTGTATTCTAGATTCCAAAGCCCAGGATTCCAGATTTTACAAGCAAAAATTTCCCAGATTCTGTATTCCGAAAGCAAGAAGTCTTGGATTCCGGAATCCGAATTCCCTTACATGGGTCGAAAAAAAATTAAAGTAACCAATCAGGGCTAAGTTGTTCGAAATCTTGATAACGCTATCCACTGGATGGATAACGCAGTTGATAACGCAATCGGTTTCACTAATACTCATCCATTGGATAGGGATTTATCCGTTGGATAGCCATATCCAACGTTTGAACAACCGGGGCCAGTAGGGTAGATCTGACAAGCGATTTCCCAGCTAAAAGACAACGCTGAGGATACAAACTTGAGAGTAACCGCATTTATCTCGGTACGTAAATCATCAAAATGAATAGTCTATACTACGAGGAAAGGCACATCGGGAAATGTGCAACCACGTCCATTCACACCTGAAGTATGTCGTCCAGCTGAAGAAATCCATAATGAACGAGACCACTGAATGTGACGGCTGCCATTTCTCGAACCTGCCAAAGAGAGAAAAAATGTCAAATTAAGCTTGAAGAGTAGTACTGGATAGTCTCCACTGCATAAGAAACGGCGGAAAAAGTAAAACTACCCGTTAGCGCCCAGGAATTGTCGTACTATCGGGTTTCAGCTGAAGGCGGGACTCAAATGTAATTCTCAGGCATGTCAATATTATAAATAGCAGCATGATTAGAGAGTGTCACTGCTGGATTTCAACCACAGAGAAAGGTACTGCTTAGTAGCTTTCATTTGAACGGTCACAGTTTAGGATTTCATCGACAGACTCGAAAGTTAGAACCACCTTGTACAGCATAATAAACAGTACCACAGGAAAGTACTGCTCAGTAGCTTTCATTTGAATGGTCACACTTTAGGATTTCATCCACAGACTCAAAAGTTAGAACCACCTTGTACAGCATAATAAACAGTACCACAGGAAGGTACTGCTCAGTAGCTTTCATTTGCATCGTCACACGTATCATCCACAGACTTAAAAGAACGTTAGAGCCACCTTTTAAAGCATAATGAGCGGCACAAGAGAAAAATACTGCTCAGTAGCTTTCATTTGAATGATCACACCATAGAATCTTATCCATGAACTCAAAAGTTAGAACCACCTTTTACAGCATAATAAACAGCATACCAGAAAAGCACTGTTCAGAAGCTTTCATTTGAATGGCCACAATTTCAGCTGATTTCATGTACAGCACAATAAACAATACCTCTAGCTGCTCGTCTTCTAAAAGACTCAGCACCATTTCTTTCACGTCCTGAATGTGCTGCGGAGTACTGGTAATTGCAAACAGGTTGGCAAAGATCATGACTTGTAGATACTCCAATACACTTCGCCTTGGATGCCACAGGGCATTACTAGCCAGCTACAATAAAACAATCACACTTCTGTAATGAACAGAACCTAGTGAGTAAACCTGACATTAGCTCCCGCGAGTCTCTTATAGCTAAGTGGTAGAGCACCTGGACTGGTAACCAGAGGGTCAAAGGTTTGCCGGACTACTGTTGGGACAACTTGTGTTTTATTCCTTGGGTCACTAAGTGAATACCAATTTTCATTTTGATATGAATCACAGATCGCATATGGCTTCAAGCTTGGTAGACAGGCCAACTCCGCCCCCCCCCCCCCCCCCCCCCCCCCCCCCCCCCCCCCCCCCCCCCTCCCCTCCCCCCCCCCCCAAGACAACCAGGTCCCGCTGTTCTTTTTTGTTTTTTGTCGTTTTTGTTTTTTGTGTTGTTATTGTTGTACTCTTCATCATTAATCTAGACTTCTGTTATTTTTTTTTTATTATTGCATGCTGATATCATATTTATTATACCCACCCCCCCCCCCCCCCCCCCCCCCCCCCCCCCCCCCCCCCCCGCCGTGTTTTATCGGCAACCAACAAAAAATGGGGTGACTATTTGTTGTTGTTTTTTTTGGTATTTTAATTTGTTGCATAACGGCTGTTTAAGGGTAATCCCTTACTAAGAGTTTCGGTTACTTTGTGATGCCACAAAACTAAAGTTTATAGTTGGAGAGATTAATGTACTTTTTGTGTTTTACTAAATGTTAAACGCAGTTATTCATATAAGATTACTCCTATTGTATCGTTTGTTTTATTTTCCTTCAACGAAATCGCCGAACTAGGGGAATTAAGTCCAATTATCGCCTGGTTAAAGATCAAGGACGGAGAATAAAACCGAACCTTACACCAGTAAAATAAACATGACAATGAACCTACTTGCTTGACAGTCTGTAGTGCCAGCGGTACCATGCTCAAAGGTAGCTCTGTTTGGGATATGTAAGCAATAGTCTGCCAAGAAAAGGGAAAAAACATGGAGCAATTAAGGTTTCTGGGAAACTGCCCACCTACCCCTCCCCTAAGCCATCATTTAGGCCTGGGTTTGAGACTCTATTCTAGCAACATTCGGCGCATGCTCAACAAAGGTCTTACTCGATTCATGTAGAGTCTTTCTAGAATTCGCCAAAATCAACCAAGCGAAAGAAAGATTCTGATAGCAGGGTGGTATTAGGGACTCTAAGATCCAACGACGCGACGGCAACGAGAACGTCGCATAAAAAGTGAATTTGCGTTCTTTTAGTCTTTACAGGGATTATTCCTACCCACTTACTTTGTCAAATATAGGCGAACCCTCCTAAAGCTGAATTTCAAATTATCATATTCAAGCTCAGAAAGACAAATAAAATTTCGTCGTTGCTTGTTTACGTCCTCCTTAAAACGCGAAATGAGGCATTTTCACGTCGAAGTTGTGCAAAAACAGAAAAGAAATGTACAAAAAAGCGTGATGCACGTGCAAAGTTGTTGTTTTGCTCATTAAACTTTTGTTTTTTCTTTGACGTTCTCTTTGCCGTCTGCGCGTTGGATCTTAAAGTCCCTATTAAGCGACAGACGCGTCCAAGACGGTCTTTTACGACGCATTTTGCAGTGTCTAGATATCGTATGAAACACTACTTTTTGTGTTTAAATTATTACGTCAGGACCAGATTATGGAAGTCACCCCATACGGTAAAAATATCATGAAATTACTACTAATGAAGAAACACGTTCCAGTGCAAAAACAGGGTTGCAGTAAAGTTTCTATACATACTCTGTGACAGTAGTGTTGAAGCTCAGGATCGTCTTCTTGCGAGTCAAATAGTATAATCTGAAAAAAAAGGTGTGTTTAGGAGTTGGTTTAATTGCGTTCTTACGTCCATACGGGAGTGAAACATTGGATGTTATTTGGCAAAACCAACCTGGCTTCACCCTTATTTATCGCCCATCCCCGGTGGCGAATTGAGAGTCATTCCGTACCGTTTAAACAACGGCGTTTTTCCACCATATAGGAGGGCGAATTGACTTTTATAACATGTACTTACCACAGGCAAAAGATCGAAGAATTCCTCTGGACAACTATGAAGGGTACGAACGGCATGGGATAAAAGCCAGTTCGTCACTACAACAAAAAAGACAAAAACGGACACCTAGATTTAGTCGATATCATTCACCAGGCAGGCATTAGAGACCTTCAAATTCTAAGACGAGGTCGACTACAAGAACGAGATTTTCTCAACACCAAGTGGCGCGTACGCGTGAAATAGCTTTATTTTGGCGGGAAAACGTGGTAGCCGCCGTCACTCTACTCCGGTTTTTTTCGAGAATGTCGTAGTGGCGGGAACAAGTTATCAAATGTTAGACGTTTTATCATTTTGCAAACGAGAGAGGGCTTAAAATCCTTCAATAAAGACAACCGTGTTTATTTTTTCTGTTGGAAAAAAGTACGATGGAGCTTTCCAGGGTTTACATTTTTTAAAGAATATGCGAAGAAAACTTAAAATTGAATCTCTTTTCGTCCTCGAATCTAAAGGTGTCTATCGTTCTCGATTCTCTATACGGCAACTCAGGTGGAGCAATGGTTCAGTGTTGTAGCCTGCTATTTTGATTCAGGGAACTACAGAGAACAACCTTCTACTTACTTGTCTTTAAGCGCTTGATAGCCTCCTTTCTCTCATCGCTCTCACGAGACCCATCCTTCACTTCCTCCCTATCCAAACGTTCCTCATTTTCTGTGCTGACGTCACTTCGGCCCATGATCTCCTTTTCTCGTGCCAGTTCCTGCAGCCCTGTCAACTGAGGAAGTACTTTGCTGACAAACTCCTTCCGGTTTGGAGATTGCGTCTGTGTGCAGTTCGGCAAGTTGAGGTCATACATCAACGCGCTACAAAGTACGCTACAAAAGATGAAAAAAAAAATGCTTACGTGTCTGATCCACACAATTGACTATTAGGGTCGCTACAGCACGGAATAAATAAGATTGTCTGGATGTCCTGTATGGAGATTCAAATAATCTCAGTACATACCTTCCTAGCCGATCGCGTACGTTTTTGTAAGGATGGTTTAGATGGGACTCGATGACGCCCAGTAACCGGTGAAGCAGCTCAGGAACTCTCCATTCTTGTTGACAGAGCGCTCCTTGAATGAAATACAGACGACTGAAAAGAAACAAAGCCATGAACATAGGCATCAGTAATTGCAACCGAAGACCCTTCTATTACCACAGGCCACCCAGGACTCAACTCTCACTGAACTGGAAACTTTCCTAAAACTGACACATAGAGTTTGTCCGTGCTGTTTTTCAGTTCGACTCTTTGACAACATCCTGCACACATTCAGTTCTGGTACAAGCGATTTCCAAATTAAAAAAAAAAAAACAGTAGATCGTAGCAGTCTAAACTCTTCTCACCTCGAATCAGAAAACGAGCCACGTTGATCGTCCAAAGGTTCTTCTAACAGCATTTCTAGGAAACGATGGATGCGCCGGGGATCACGACTCTCCTACAAAAGAAATGAAATCTAATTTTTTTTCAACGAGAAAGAAACTGGACCGTGTTTACTTTCGCAAAGACTTCTGGGACTGTTACTAGAGACATGGAAAAAATTGCCCAATAACCGAGCGGCGCGTCCCCGGGAACGATCCCAGAAGGCCTTGCGGGACAAATTTCGGGCCCATTTCCCTTCTCAATTTTAACGTGGCGAATACCATACGGTTACAAAACAGCTTCTCACCACAGCGGTTGCCATACACGTGCCCCAGTCCTCTAACGTCTCCACGTTCACAGCCAAGAGGGCCTTTCTTAGCAGTGGTAAGAGAAAATCCCACAGATTTTCAACCTTTTCGTAACTCCAGTGTTTGCATCCACGGATGACAGCGGCGATTATTTCCACAGCACATCTTTGACTGCTCTCCTGAAAAATTAAAACAACAATGGACGATACAATATTAGTTTTCATTCAGATGGTCGCCTTCCAATCTCGTTCCCAGCGTCCACTGTTACTCCCGAAAAGGGGAACAAGTAGGAGTGGAACCTGGGAACGAGGTTGGTCACCTCCGCCGAGGTGAAATCCGAGAGGTTGCTACGTTTTTAAACAACAGCAACAGCAACAAAAAACCCCTATTTAACACCGACCTCATACCGTAAAATTTCGAAAATAAGCCCCTCCATGTATAAGCCCCTTCAAATATAAGCCCCCCAAACTCGTAACGTAGAAAACTCTCCGTTAAATCGCCCCTCCAAATATCTTATACTCGGAAATTGCCTTCAAATACAAAGAAAATACGGTAAATTTCCTTTCATTTATAAGGTTAGCCCAATCGATTTTGAAACGCAAATTTCCCTCCGTAGATAAGCCCCTCCAAAAATAAGCCCTTCAAAAAGGGCCTTTCAGAAATATAAGCCCCGGGGCTTATTTTCGGAATTTTACGGTAACTCACCATTCATGAGATGTCAAGTCAACTTCAGCTTACCTGGGCATCTATACAAAGACGTTCAAGATGGGGTTTGAGTAGATCAAAAAACGTGTCGTCGAAGTTTCTGAAAAGACCCTGCAAAGAAAGATATAAGGTAAATAATGGTCGTCATCACAATTTCTTACTCGTGTAAGGTGAGATTGCTAATTGACGCACAACACGACTGGACCAGCATGAAGTGAAGCTATTAGGAATGATGAAGCAAAAAGTAGATGGGAAGAGAGTACCGAAGTGATGACGTCATAAAAATGAAATTTGTGAAATTATGGGATTTGTTAAGATATTCTGGAAGAACAACGTCCAAGACGCCTACTCGCCAAAAATTAGCAATTCGGGGCAAATTGTCTCTGAGATATTAGCCCAGTTATGCTGTGACGATTCCATACAAATCCTTCTAAATTTGGCTTGGTTCATAAGATTAGGAACCAGGTAAGATTTAGAAGGATTTGTATGGAGTCATCGGAGCATAACTGGGCTAATATCTCAGAGACAATCTGCCCCAAATTGCTAATTTTTGGCGAGTAGGCGTCTTGGACGTTGTTCTTTCAGAATAGCTTAACAAATCCCATAATTTCACAAATTTCATTTTCTATGACGTCACACTTCGGTACTCTAGTACCAGTGGCGGATACTGACCTTCAGGTAGGATGGGGGGAAGGGGGGGGGTGGGGTCTCCTTCGGCCCTTCGAGCCTCAGTTTGGTCTAAAAATAAGGGGCGCTCTCCTTGATCCGCCACTGAGGACGACTGCAGAGCATTTTGTTCACCTTATCATAACACAAACAAAATCACATTACCTTAAAAAGTACAAATCGATGTACATTGAATTTGTCTCTGCCCTTTCTATCTTCCAAGGACAGAAACGCAATGAATTTTGACGTGAATTCTTCTTGACTGAAAGCATCGTAAATTGGTTGTTCTTCCTGAAAAGAATTTACCAAAAACAAAATACTATGGCAAAAGTTAAAACATTTGTAAACAGGCGGACGTCCTTCCTCTAAGGAGATTAGAACTCCTTGGTATATGCATTCTGCAAAAGTTACGCCAGTCTTGTAAACGTATATTAACTTATGAGTTTATGGCCTTCGTGCAGACAAGAACTATCGTGAAAAAAAATCTCCAGAATGCACAAATTCGTAAACGAAAACATCTCTTTCTCGTGTTGAATATTACGCCTTCCTTAGGGGTTTAGAGAGTACAGATTTTAGAGGGGGATGGCGGAGGGGGAAGTTTCTCTCCCTTCACTGTCTCCCCTTTTCGCTTCTATTCGTATTTCTAGGCTATTCTCATGTGCACGGAAGCTGTTCAAACGTTTCTATGTTTTCGAACTCGTGTGCACACTGCCAAAAGATCAAATTCTTACCTCTGAAAGTTGATCACGTGTTCGACCTAGAGGAGGCTGTTGGTCTACTGGCGCATAGGTCAGCAGTTTCCTATATAAATGAGAAAGAAGGGCATGTAATGCTCCGCGAGCTATCCACCAGGTTGTAAACTGCCCGTACTTCTGAAGCCACCAAGTGCTTACAAATCTCTTTTTAATAGGCCTTTGAGAACACCAGATCAATTTAAGTTTCTGGTAAACTGCCCACCTACCCCTCCCCAAGGCAAACATTTTGCCCTAAGTGAGAAGTGAGTGTTAATGTTGACTTAAGAGAGGGGTGGGTGAGAAAACCTGTTTTAATGCAGATAATCCTTAGCATCAGCCTCGACTAATTTTATCACAGAGAACATAGAAATGATCGATTATAACGAAAGAAAAAACAATCGTCCGCTTTTCACTTTTTTTGCTTACTTTGGCCAAGTGTAGTAACCCCAGTGTGTTTTGTCGATGAAGACACAGCTCTCCCATTCTTTTTTATTCTTTGGGACATTGCTTGAGGAGTAATGCAACCTGGAAGAATCAACAAAACATGCTCAGTTCTAATAATCAAAGATCGTGATGAGGTGACTATGAAGATGATGATGATGGTGATTATGATGGTGATGATGATGATGGTAGTGGTGGTCGTGGTGGGGGTGATGATAATGATGATAATGATGGTGGGGGTGGTGGTGGTGATGATGATGACAATGGTGGTGGTAGTGGTGGTGGTGGGGTGGTGGTGATGATGATGATGGTGGTGGTGGTGGTGGTGGTGGTGGTGGTGGTGATGATGATGATAATTAGGGCGTTCCACAAGTTGCTCGGCAACTTTTTGGTAGCTTCTCGTATTTCGAGCAACTTTTTTCGTTCCGAATACTTTTGCAGCCAGTGATGGTGATAATGGTGACAATGGGGGCCATGATGATGATGATGATGACGATGATTATGATCACAACGACGACAATATCTAATTATTTAAAAGCAACTGAGGGGAAATTCGTGAGAATGGGGACGAGATCATCTGGAAGAGTTTAATTAAAACCTATTTAAAAAAAAAAACAAATTATCTAGACGTTTGTTAAAGGAAATGTACGAAATCAGACGTGTCGTGAGCACCTTACCATCTATTATCCTCCCGATCTCCAGGCTCGATGACTGTTGAGGTAGGTTCTGGTAGGCCAGCTTTAAACACAAAAATTAAAGCATCAACAGCGACTCAAAAGAAACCACGAGAGAGCAAAAAGGCGCATAAGGGCGTTAAGGAATAGATATGCTCTATGTTTATTTTTATTTTCGTTCTTTCCAGTTACGGAATTAGTTATACAGTCCAAAATCACCCAAAATGCCTAATTTTCGTGATCACATCATGAGATAGGTTTTCCCTAAAGGACGTTTACTAGGAAATTCCGAAAACTCATTTTGGTATTTTAAATAGGTGGTGGATGTTTAGAGCGGGTCGCGTACAAGAGGTGATTTCACATGCATCGCATTATTATCAATGTTTATGCCAACCTTACCAACAGAGTATGGGTTAACAGCTATTTTGACGTGTGGTCGCTTCTGCTGTTTGAGAATCGCTCCAACGGCATCTATTGCCACCTAAAACGGACGAAAAATATTGTATGTAAAACAATAATTTTAAAACGATAAAGCTTAAGTAGATTTTGAAGTCGAATCATGTAAGGGAATCGAAGACAGTCCAAGACAGTCTTGGATTCTGGCTTCTACACTGTGGATTTCTGATTCCGGATTCCAATCGTTAGAGGGAATCCAGAATTCTTGAGCTGTTTTCCTGATTCCAAAGCCCAGGATTCCAAATTCCACAACAAAAATATATTAGCTGGATTTCACAAGCCGGCATTTCCCATACAATGTGCGAGTTAAGCGTCGCACTTACCTTTCGAATTGCCAAGGCATCGTGATTGAGAAATTTTACGCAGAGTTTCACAGCACTGGCCGGCAGTGGAACATCATAACGAATCAATAATTTCACAAAATTAAAGCAAATTTGAAGATAACGCCAACGTCTGAAACGGAAACAACAGAGAATAGTTTCGATTACATTATAAATAAACAAGAGTAGATTATTAGTACGCGTTGACAAGAAAAACAAGTAGCTGTCTGGAGTGCCTTACTTTGAAATAATATTGGAGAGCGGTCATACACTTCTGGGAAACTGCCCAGATACCCCTCGCCTAAGCCAACATTAACACTTACTTCTCACTTGGGGCAAAATGTTGGCTTAGAGGAGGAGAAGGTGGGCAGATTCCTCGAAAAGTATAATGATACTTAGGCTAATGGGGTTGGGTTCGTAAAGGGCAGAAAGTCACACAAATGCAACTTGACTGAAAAGTGTGTTGCTGATGCTTTCAGTCACAGAGTCAATACGGAGGACAAGAAGAATAGTTCTAACGTTTGAGCCTGGACGAAATCCTACGGTGTGACAATTCCAATGAAAGCTACTGAGCAGTACTTTCATGTGGTACTGTTTATTACGCTGTACAACGTGGTTCCACCTTGTGAGTCTGTGGATGAAATCCTAAGTGTCTTCCATTTAAATAAGAGCGACTGAGCAGTATTTTCCTGTGGTGCTGTTTATTGTGCAGCATCACGTAATTCTAAATATTGAGTCTATGAACTAAATCCTGTGGCTTGACCAATTAAATGAAACTGCTTCAACTTTATGGAACTGTATGGGTATTTTGTTGCTATAAGCTATGAGTAAATGCTTGGAATAACGCTGCAACTTACAGACTATCGGTGTCCAGCAAATTAATTAATGTGCTCACTAGCTGTTGGAAATTTCTGCAAAGAAAGAGCTTTTATTAGAGACACGAATACAATGGACGCAGTCCTGTTTCACAAGGATATTAGCTTCAAATGGTCTCGTAAATTTGTTAAAAATACCAATTACACGTCCTTATCGCAATGGAACTTATCCTTAGAAATAGCTTACAAATGACAAGATCAGCACTTCATGTGATGTCAAACAAATATGGCTCCAAAGCATATATCAAATGTTACAGAGAAAAAAAGGAACTTTGAAAAACTGTTTGGCTAGAAGGTTCTCCAAAACCACAATTGCGATCCGTCTCAATCTCGTTACCATCTGCCCATCTGTAACTTCTTTTGTATAGGCTGTCTTATTTACAACATGTTTTAATGTTTTGAGCAGTTATTTTTATGTTTTCCTCATTTGGTTTTGAATTTTGGCAAATTTTGTGACACAGGCCCTTTCATGTTTTTAAAATTCGCGTCTTAAGACACAAGAAGGAAACTGGGGCGAGTCAACTTTTGCAAAGACTTCTGGGACTGTTACTAAGGACAATGAGAAAAATATTAGCCAATAGCTGATCGGCGCGTTTCCAGGAACGATCCCAGAAACAATTGCGCCACGCATTTCGGCTCCAGGGCCTCTTCTCGTTTTCTAAAGTGGCGAATTTCTGTTGATACCTGAGATTAGTTTCGCGGGTGTTATTCCAAACTTCTACGCTCTCTTTGATTTGAAGCTCGCTTGGAAGAGGCGAGTCTGATGCACTGAGAGGTTGTTTTAGGCAGGTGCGTGGTTCTGGTCCAGTTGAAGTTAAAAGCATCTTAGCTTGTTCAACTGCTGCATCGGTCACCTTAAAAAAAAAAAAAACAGCTAAGGCTTACTTCGCTATGTAAAGGTGATTCAAACTTTTGAGTCTGTGGATGAAATCCTCAAGTGTGACCATTCAAATGAAAGCTACTGAGCAGTACTTTTTATGTGGTACTGTTTATTATGCTGTACAAGGTGGTTCTAACTTTTGAGTCTATGGATGAATTCCTAAAGTGTGACCATTCAAATGAAAGCTACTGAGCAGTACTTTCCTGTGGTACTGTTTATTGTGCTGTACAAGGTGGTTCTAACTTTTGAGTCTGTGGATAAAATCCTTAAGGCGTAAACACTTCCAGGAATTGCTATGGTGAAGTGCTGTTTGTTATATTGTGGAACAATAAATGATAACGACCGTAATGAGAACAGGATCTTCTCCTTTTCACATTTTAAACGAGGAATGAAATGGTAAACGAAGTTCCCATAATGCTTTTCTTAACATACTGTTATTTTTAAGGTAGATTGAGGGTGTTCCAGGTAGTAACCTTTATAACCGGGGTTATTTTTTCGCGTTTTTCAGAAGAGCGAAGGCAAGCGCGAAGCGAACGTGGAGCGCTTGCGCCTCGCCCCGCCGCGCGTGTCTGGCGCTCCTCGCTAGCTTCGCGCTTTCCTTCACTCTCCTGAAAAACGCGAAGAAATAACCTCGGTTATGCAGGCTATCCAGGTAGCAAAGACGGGAATGATCACTTTAAGACTGTTATCTTACCACTCTGCTTATAGCCACTGTGTCGTACTTTTTCACCATTTTTTCTGCAAGCATGGTGGTCAGAGTAATAATAGAAGGTTTTTCAGAATGATCAGCCTAAAAACAAAGACCATGTCAATGCGTAAATTCCCACTACTTATCCCTAACTATTACCAACGTGCCAGTTGAGAGAAATGGGTTGTTGATAATCTCTTGTGAGGTTTTCTAGCCTTACTTTGGTCTTTGACTGGTATCTTTAAGCAACTTAAGTGTTATTGCATCAAAAGGCGGCTTAAGGAAACTAAAACTGTCGTAAATCAAAGATTGCACTTCAATTAACTCAAAAATTACTATTCTGACGGTCAATACATTGGAGACTATTAGATTCTAATACGAGGACGGCCAAGAGAACAAGCTTTTCCCAATACTGAGTAGTGCGCGCACGTGAACCATCGTCATTTTGGCGCGAAAACGTGATAGCCGTCGTCATTCTACTAAGAGTTGTAGCGAGAATGTAGTGGCGAAAACAAGTTATCAAATGTTAGAAATTTTATCGTTTTGCGATCGAGAGAAGGCTCAACTTCCTTCAAAAGATATAAACTCACTACCTTTCGTGGTGAAAAAAGTACAGCGAAGCTGTCCGGGGTGTCTATTTTTAGAGAATACGAGAAGAAAACTTAAGAGTTACTTCTCGTCCTCCTAGTCGTACTCGTCCTCGAATCTAAAGGTCTCTGTCATAAATTAAACGGATACGTAATTATACAACAACATGCACAGAAAAGTCGGTACTGCTGCGTTGATAGACTTGCGACAAGTTGACCACTCATAACTTCTTAAAAGTGAGCGAAGCTCAAGCGAGCTTCAATGCATGAGGTCGCGTAGCGACCGAGCGAGCGACGAACTCTCGAGGTCGACCTGTTACGCCTGAATGGATTTGAATCGTGTTATAAATTCACGCACGAAACAAAATATGCTGTGTCGAGAGCGGAGTGAAATATCACTCACTCTCCTATTGGTCAATAGTCATAACGTCACCGGTTGAATTTTCGACCGGTGAATTTCGCGCCAAACGGGTATGAAGTCTTTTAAAATGGCATAACCAACCAGGAAATTAAAAATAAAGGACTTTTAGAAAGTCTACTGCGTTGATTGATCTGCTGTCAAACACTAACAACAGTTACCTTAACAATCGCAGGCCAAACATCAACCATGACTTCCCAGTAATGCACTATCAAAAACAGCATGCGGTTGTTTAGTAGCACGTAAAGTGCGCCCTGTAGAAGAAAAGGAAAAACAAGATGTCATAATTAGGCTCGGACCCCGCTTTACGGACACCTGCCTAATACGGACACCCCGTTAATACGGACAGTTTTCCTTGTCCCTGGGGAACGTAAGCCCCCTTACCTCTTTTAAACCCCCCCCTCCCATCCCTATTTATTCTTTTATGATAGACTGTATTGATTAATCTCGACTGAAACCCTTCATGTGGACTAATCCCGTATAAAAGGTTAGGCAACCATATTTTACGTCGATAACTCGTGACAGTAATAACTGACAACACCCTGGAAATTAGGATTGCGGGCTCCTCTTGTCGCCCGCAATAACACTTGCTCATAGAGGTACCCACCTTGAATTCCTCGTGGGAGATGTCTGGACTGTTCTGAAGCTTTGACAACGTTGTTGGAATCAGTGTTCGAGCAAAATAATCAAACACCTCGATGCACGAAGAAAGGACTCTCTGAGCTTTGATACGAACCTTGTGACAAATACAGCCAACATGGTAAGAAGAAAATTTGGACCAAACCTGACCGTTGAGTTTAGGTTTAAAAAGCGCCAGCAAGTAGGCACACGAGAGCACCTCGGGTACCTTTTGTTTCACTCCTTTTACGTCGAGATAGAGACTGTAAAAGGGTGCCACTAGCTAAGCGTGTTAACAACTGTATCTGGCTGAAATGAATGCGTACTTCAGAGAGACTTTTACTTTTTCACCTCTTCACTTTTATCCGGACATAAAAAATCTTTCCTCTGGTAGACGCCCAATAAACTGCGCAATCCAACTTATTATCTCAGCTCTACTTAAGTGACACGGAGAGCTTAACCTTTAAAATGGAGACATACAGACGAAGGAGCAAGCAAAGTAACACCACTGGAAACCAAAGACATACCTCTGTGTAAACTGTCGTTGCCAGTTTAAACAAGTCGTCCAATAACACTTTGTGTAAAGTCGTTAACTGCGTTGAAACACGATCAAGGATGCGCATCTGGAAACAAAGTATTAGAATGAAGATGAAGTGAACTGCAGGAACTGATAAAAATCTAAATGACGACGCATGTACGACCTTAATTTGCTATTCTCAACGGGATTCGAATCCATGGCCTCTACGTTGGCCTCTGCGTTGGCACTACAGTACTCTACCAAATACATTGAGAACTCAACAAATTGGCCTGCTCCCAATGTATGGGTCTTCATGGCTCAGTTGGTAGAGGACTGCAGCACTAACGCAGCGGCCATGGGTTTGAATCCCTTTAAAGCTCTGGAATTCTTTTCGGGGCTTAATTCGCAATTGCTCAAGCGTACACAAGTGCGATGGTCACATCCTCAGTTAGAAAGTAAGAATCACGTATTCAACTGGGTTTAATTGATGTACTTGTTACAATCATTGCCCTCCCTTCCTCGACTAAGGTAAGGTAAAGGTGACCTTCGGGCCCAAGAGGTGATTTCAAATGGTTCACCTAGGGAGACAAAGAGTCTGAGAAAACTATATCTGCATACCTCATGTTGTAACTGAACTCTCTCGATCAACAGAGGTCTTACATGTTTCTTCTTCCCAGCAAGCTAAAAGAAAAATTAATATAATTAGTACCACAAGTGCTGATTAAGAAATAGCGCGAAAAAAGTAGTAACACACATAAAACAAAAAAAAGAAAACATTTTGGCTTGTCTTGGACAACAGTGCTTCTCAACCAACTAAACACATTCTACGGGAGCAAGCATGTAACACTCTGATCCTTTTTTCATTTAATGCATTTATACTTGTTAGTATTTTATTTGCCACATTCTGTACTCTTACCCCAATGGAATAACAAAAGATTTTTTGCATGTTTTTCCTTCTGATGATGTATACTGAAGTTACCGTAAATCCACTAATAAACCCTCCTCTGAAATAAGCACCCCTCCCCGGTCTCTTTGATCCCAACCTTCCCTCCCATATTTTTAAAAATGATAGACTGTGTTCATTAATCACGACTTTAAGGACTGATCCAGCATGGTTTATTCACTCGCTGGAATTTCCGATTTGCGTTTTATCTTCTGTTGCATGACCTCCAACTAAATGTGCATGAGTTTTTCCACTTTGCGTTTTATTTCTTTATCATCAGTTACAGAAGAAAAATAAATGTCACAAGTTTCTTAGAGCGGTTTTCATTTGAGTGTCGAAAAGTAATTGGTTTTGCACTTTCTACACGATGCGATTGGCTTAAAAGATTCGCGCCACCTTTTCATCCAATCAGAAGTAAAACCAAAGCCAATTGTGACACGCTTTGCGTCAGCCACATGTAATTACTTCGAGTTTTGATTGGTTCAATGTATTGTCTGTGTCCTATGTGATTGGCCAGAGTAATTACTTTGGGTTTGGTTTTACGACACTCAAACGAAAACCACTCTATTTACGACATACTCTATCTTCCATTGCTCTCTTCACAGCAGTAGCACTACGCCATCTGTAAAAGCAACACAACAAAACATTTGAGTTGCACTGATCATTTTTACATTTAACAAAATAGAACAGACGTAAAGAATAACGCTCTACGAAGATTATCTTACCTATTGTCGAATTCATCTCTTTGCCCCCCAGTATGGAGCATTAAGAGATCATAGATCTGTAGAAAGTAAGCAAAAAGATGGTGCAGAGCGAACAGTTATGACTATGACAGTAAAATGGCGTTATCAACATTCATCGATGATTACCAATGCTTCCATTGTCACTATAGCATTTCTACAAACATCATTGCCGAGATAGTGCCATTATCATTTCAACATTGTTACAGTATTGTCACAACCACTGTCAATGTCATTGCCAGAGCCATTATCTCGAAGGTAGTCAAGCCTATTCCTTACTTAACCAATTCCAAACTACGTAAATTATTAAATACCTTCACAATAATTAGAAGTGCTTTAGTGTCATCCTCGTGATGGCAGAGTAGATGATCTACAAGCAGCAATAGGAAATAATTGACAGGAGAAATCAATCAGTATTTAAAAAGCACGACAGCTTCAGGATTAAACGTCTTGCACGTACTTTGTGTAGTTTCTATTATCCACTCCATCTACAACTGTATCACTAAATAGAGGTTGGGTGTCTGGAGTATCCAGGGGCTTCCACGTTTGGCAGCCAGCCCCTAGATTGAAATAACGCCCCCATGGCTGGCACAACAGCGCAACCCAGCTATGAGCCCCCAAACAAAAGAAAACAAAGAGGCACCCGTCACACTGAAAAATATCAGTGGAGTGAGAATGGATACAGGCTTCGGTCGCAAAGATTTCTGGATAGTTTGGGGGGCAATGTAAGAAATGATTGGTTGATGGTTGCCATGGGATACCATTGACCAATCCTAACTAACACTTTTCCACCCAAACAATCCCAGAAATGCTTGCGCAAGTTTTTATTTATTCCTCTCCGTAGCTTATGGAGTGGCCTATAATTGAGGTCACCTTTTGAAACGTTCAATAATTCCAAAACGAAATTGCCAATAAACAGCTCGGACTATACATTTCACACAATCTAAAAGATTAGAACCTCTTTGCAAAACAGTCATGTGTAACCTGGTTTAACCACAAGGTTGCTTTTATTTCAAACGAGTAACAAAGTAGAAAAGCAAAAAGTTACCTAGCACTCTGTGGATCGTCTCTGCTATCTGTGCCCGTGAATTGTGTTCACCCATAGACACATCTAAAACATAAAATCAATAAGCTGAATAAGGGAAACATGCAGATTACTTTAAAGCGGTTTGAGTAATACCTCGTGAGATTGTCTTCTTTTCTTGCCTGAAAAAACAGCCGGCATCTCGCGACGCCATCAGCGGTTTCCTGGCGAAATGACCTCTGAGAAACGACTGCAGAAATTCCATATTGATGACGCGTCACTACCCAGATCTGGGTTGTATGTGCTCCTGATTGGCTGAAGCAAATTTTCAACCAATAAAAAGCAATACCCAGATCAAGGTAGTAACACGTCATCAGTATGGAATTCTTGCACTCGTACCTCAGACGTCATTTTGCGGAGAAATAGTCGGTGGCTTCGCGAAATGTCGGCTGTTTTCTCAAGTAGACTGTAAGACAAATACCTGGTTCCATTGACACAGTGTTTCGAAAACGTCCCCTCCCAACTAGTGTCTTGAGGCCTCTGAAAGATCAGCAATATCAAAGATCAGGGATGATTATCGCATGAAAAGAACTCAACGGCAAAACTTACAGTTACAAAAAAAGATAAGTGATTCTTTAACTTCAAAACCGATGGACCACTTTTTGCAAATATACTTACAGATGCTTTATAGCTTTGATTTTTTGTTCAAATGACCTGAACTATCAAAAACGCCCTCTCCAAACAGTCACAAAATAATCATAGGCCAAAACGTTGTAATAAGTTGTTTAATTTACTCAACCCAAGTCTGTCTGTAAGTTGGTGTTTTTAAAATTTGCACTAACAAGCTAACTCTTACAAGTTCTCCAGTGGAGGTCTTGTCCAGTCAGGTAGCAGTATGGAAGCTCCCGATAAGCAACCACTGATGATATTCAGACTCTGCTGAAGCCCCTCTCTGAAGGCAAAAAATAATTAACAACATTACCTCCTTAAGGACCCTTTACACGGGTAATTTCACTGTTGCGTGAGAAAAGATGTAATCTCATTGCAACCTCAAATCGTGCGCGTAAACAGCGTTTTCAGCGGCATTTGTCTCAGCCAAGTCGCTGCAAATTTGAGGATGAGCTAAATTTAGTGCAGCTTCGTAGCTTTCTTTACACGAATGCTGTTATTGACAAAAACGTTTTTTCACAAACCACTTTTCACAAAATAGTCGTAGGATCGTGCTAAAATCGCCTTTGTTGTCGTGCAAATTACGTCGAAATACATGTATCGACCGTGTAAAAGGCTAAAACATGAGGGTTATTAGAATGAAGGAAATAACCACCAAAGATAAATATGTCATGATTTTCAGTTCTCGTTAAAAGTACTACAAGAGGTTGATAGAGATCAGAGAGGAAGATACAGAAGTTAGTCGATATGGCACTTACTAAAAAACTATGACTGGAGAGAGGTTTTTTTGGACAATATCGTTGCGGTCCTCGTCGCAGTGGCCGCCAAAGTTCTCTATATGACATTATTATTTGGATAAAGTCGATGTACATAGGACTGTGTAAGACTACAAATAAAGCATTGTCTTGTCTTGACATTTAAAAAGGCGGAGGGAGGGGGTGCGTGGAGGAAATTACAGTCATTTTAAAGGTGCTTTCTAGATCAAGCTACGGCGAAATTACTTTTCACCCTAGCTTTCTAACCTGCGAGCGAGATCCTATGACGTTAAAAATTCAAAGGAAACCTCCTCGGAAAAACCTTTCAATGGCTCTTTTCAAATCCTAAGATTTTACAAAAAGAAATTTGGCATTTTCTGTGAATCGTTTATTCTGTCCACAGTAAGACATAAAAGAATTACACAGAACATTGGACAACAAACCAAGACTCTCACCTTGAGAGGGTAAGCGATTCATCCACGAATCTTTCTAGTTTCGTCAACTCTGGCTGTAAAAACATATCTAGCAGATCCTTTGCTAAGAGCTTCTCTTCCCTCGAGGGTATATGCCACTGAATGTTTAAGTTGAACAAATCACCTGGTTTTCCCCAATCCTGTATTGCGTTGTAAGACAAAAATAGCACAAAGTTTTGTGTAATGAGTAATCCATGATTGACTGAGCTGTCGGAATGTTTCATTTTTGTAATTGTGACATGTAAAAAATGCAAACATAAATACACAGACTAAACCACCACAATGCCAAATTTGCAATGGTGTTTGTTTGCAAATGCGCTGATTAAACAATTTGTGAGAAGTTGGTTTCTTAATACGAGGCTATGACTGCACTTTTAAAAAGAACATTAGAGCTTTTTCATTTTTTCTATTAGAGGTATCAAGTGTCTTGAACATGACCAATCAAAACACTGAGTTGAAAAAAAGGATCAGCCAATCAGAATTCGAAGCAATAGAGGGCGGGTGCCAAGGGAGGGGAAAAACCTAGGCTATAACCCTGACCAATTACAACGTCTATCAAAAAACAAATCAGAACGTGAAGAAAACACATTGCATTCCCTGCTACCAGAGGCTCACCGAATACCCAGGGAAAACATTGTAGTGAGCGCCATTCGAAAATATGTTTGAGAAAAATGCAAGTCACAATTGTTTTCGATTTTGATTCTGACTGGTTAAGAAAGCGCACGAGTCTGTTCAACCAGAAAACAAAGCAGTTTTAAAAGTTTCCCAACTTGCTTTCTTACCCTGATAAACAGATGCTCCGTCGGTGGTGTCCCGAAGTCGACAAGCACGCTCCTCCATTCCATGGGGTAAATCTTGGCTAGTGGCCGTAACAAGTGCTCTAGAAGCTTCAAATACAGAAAAGAATAGAAGAGTCTATAATGAATTGAGGTTCTAAAACTTTATTTCATTGTGTCTACTGTACTCTATAGACAATAGCAAAACAAGCTTTCTGCTCTGATTGATTATCTTTAAATTCGTTCCATTTGAATTTATTCACGTATTTTGTTGTTCTTCAAAGATAAAAGCTACCAACCGTTGCTCCCAAAGTGGCAGCTTCTTTGCATTTCAAATGAATTGTACTTTTAATAGCTGTGATGAGCTTATCTTTGTACTCTAGCGACCCACTGGAACGCACAACCTGAAAGACAAAAAATTAAGCTGGACTTTATTCGTTCAGTTGTGTAGGAGCTGCTCCTAAGGTCTCTCCTGATTGGTCGAAGAAAACAATGACATGTCATTCTTTCAGTTGTTTCAGTATTGTTTGGGGTCAGGGTACATGACCCCATTCAGTGCCATCAACAAGTTTCATATATATAGTTTCGTATATGATCGCTTCCGCGAAAGAGATAGACGCGTTAAATTTAACCTTGTTTAATAGTTGTACAAATTTTACAAATGTACACCTCTGTAATTATTGCACGAAAATCTTTGTTATCGTTGTAAACACATGTGTCTGTAGGCGCTCTGTTGATAATAAAGCACTTATCCTATCCTATCCTAGCAAAATTTTCCACTGTGGGTATTAAGTTACACTGATATTTGTTAAAAATGAAGCGGGATCGATGATTCTTCTTTGGAACCCAACTCATGCCGATCAGCGCTGGTGGTATTCGTGTTCAACCCTAGCTTTGCAGTATTTTTCATAACTTTCTCTCGTTTAACGCTCTCGTTGCCGTAGCCGTTGACGTCGCTGTCGTGGGAACAGGCTAATCACAGAACTACCCCAGCATTATACCAACAGTCACACCCATTTTATAATAGCGTGTGTAAATCACATGGAGCTCTACTCTTCAGATCTACCTCAGACAAAATCTGGAGATTCCACAACAGCTGGTCATCAACTTCTTCTTCCTCCGCTACACCTTCCACTAGGACAATTAAAAAAAAGTGTTAGTGATAACGATACAATTTTACAGGGAAAGAATTGGCTCCTAACAGTCTATCACTCACCAGACGTCAAATGCTCAATAACCGAACAACAGTGAGGGACAAATTTCTTGAGAGTAGCTGGCGCGTTTGTCTAAATATAGAAATAAAATACATTTTAATAGGTTAATGAAAACATACTAGAACGAATAATCCTCGCTTTCTTCACACCTCTAAAAAATTAGTTTTGCAAGGGAGGTGGGGATAAGACATTTATTTATTTATGACGGACAACCAAAGTTTAGAAACTTCTAAATTCATATATTTTTTGCTGCTGTGTAGAAAAATAAAAAAGCCGCCCCACCTCAGAAATTTCTTCGACGCACAATAGCAGAATTTAAGGGGGTTAACACTTGTTAATAATTCTTACTCATAAGAGAGGTAAGGAGAAAGGGATTCAAATTAAAGTGGATGCTTCTAGTAACCGGCCTGTGTACAGACACCCCAGGGGAGGGGGGGAGGGCATCTGTACACTGCCTATCTAATAACTGGCATACCGGTTATTGTTTTTGTGTATACCCATCCTGGCAGCGGCTCGACTAAAATTAGCAACAATTTGAGGGGGTGGTCACAGTCTTGTCAATCCCTTTTACTGACAGGAGAGGTGAAGAAAAAAGGAAAGCGGATGGTTTTAATAACTACATGTAGTATACCGATTATTGGTTTTATATGTACCCACCCTGGCGGCAGCTCGACACATGTCAGCTGCCATCTTGCCTGCCACCTTTGTTTCAAGAACTTTATTGGCACAAAACGCAAACAGCTGATCAAGGGCACTCTACAGGACAAACATGAAAAAAATTAATAGTAAATAGAAGTTTATCTAACATCTTTGGTGTAAAGTGGTTCTATTAGCAAGCCACCTTCAGCTCATAATACCTGTAAAAAAAAAAGGTTCATTCAGGCTAAACTACTCTCACTGCATACATGATTGGGCTGTAATGTGGGGAATAAGAAAAAGTTATTTTCATTGGCCTTTAAAAACACATCTGTTATTGTTTTTAGCGACTCAGTCAACGCACATGAAGTTATTAGTTGTGTAAATAGGTATGTCAATAAGAGCCAGCTGCCGGCTAATTTCACGTGCTGAAAAAGACCTTATCACTTGCTCAATTTGCTAGGGAAAACAAGACATGGGATTACTTTGAAGATGTATATGAGTAAAAACGCCAGCTTGACAAATAAAAAGGCCTGCTTGGCTTTTCCTTAGCTGCATCCCTGTGTGAATTATACCCTATCCAGTTGCTATAATTTACTGAATAACGCGCCTTCTTTATGGATGACCTCACCTGGAAGATCTTGGGTGAACTCTGCATAAGAATTGCATGAAAAGTTGAGGCAACGCCCATTCCCATCATGCCCTCTAGAGAGTGTCGCTGATCAGCTTTCATTGTGTTACTGTCCAGTTCCGAAGTGTTCTCAAATGATGAATTTTCAATCATGACAAAACATCTGAAAAACAAACTTCAACTTAAGGCAAAATGAATAGTTTTTTTTCTCTCTGAAAGTCAAGTGCAGTCATTAAGAATATAACACTAGTAACTGGGAAAATTTGTTTGCATTTGACAATTCACTTCTTAAACCAATGTTTTTGTTGATCTCATAGAGCAGATGATTGATCTTACTTATTTGCTTGCAATAATTATGTGGTTATAAGAGGGATACTACAAGGTAGTGTGGATTATTGTTACAGTGTGTATTCATTACTTACCTATCCATAAACTGTAATACAAAGTCTTCAAACTGAGCTGTTGCAAGGCATAACTCTTTTTCATCCTAAAAGAAAAGATGCAAGAAAGCAAAGAAAGAATGGTTGCTGAGTTAAATCCTTGTTTCTACATGCTTAGAGTAACAAAGACGTTTTCATCTTAACCTCTGTCATTTCCACCACTCCAACAGCCTCAGAACAGTCAACTACCGGGACTAAGCAAACAACAGTGGAGATGAACATGAAGGTTCCCTGCAAATTGACGGGAAAGGCTATCAGTAAATGAAAGAGATCATTTTGTGAGCAAGAGACGAAAACTACAATGATGAACTACAGTGTGTACAACAAGTCCAGTTGCCCCTTTTACTGAAAATATTACTTGCCAAACTTCTGGGCTCGGTTGTTTAATGTTGGGATGAAATAATCCAGGGTTAGTGCAATATGAAAGCTTAAAAAGCAAATTCAGTTTAATTCACTTTGTCTACAATTTTATGACTGGGAGCTCTACAAAGAATGGACAAAATATCTGAGAAAATGCTTTTCAACAAAAGAAAAACAAACCCAGAAAAACATTTGACCCATGGTGCTTTTCAATAAACAAAAATATGCTAGATGCATTGTTGAATTAGATAAATATAAGAGTAGACTAGAAAAATTTCTAAACTTCTTCTGAGCAACCACAGTGCGTGTATTTCTTTGGCCACTTGAGAACAGTACTCACCAAAGCTTTACGAAAATCATTTGGGTCTATTCCTGGTAATACCAGCTGCAGTAAAGGAAGAACATGACTACGGCCGGCAGGATATGACGCATCGGGTCTGACAAGTGCTCTGGCTACAGATGTAACACAGTTCAGTGTTGCAGTCAGTTGATGTGGCTCAGTTAGGGTTCCCAAAGCAACATATAACCTTTAAAGTAATAAAAACAGATAAAATGTCAGGTCCGGGTAACAGTTTAAGTCATCAGAATAGACCATTCCATGTTTTTCTTTTTCTTTAAGTTTTGATGAAGACCAGTTAGCTTATATCCATTGATACTGCTGGAGGAAATGCCTTAAAATGGGTACACTGACCAAGTTCAAAGGTGATACATTAAAAGCAAGCAAAGATATTGTTCCATAGATGTTTGTATGGTGGGGGGCACAAACTTACAAACAACTGCAAAATTCAGCCACTTTGAGGGGCTATATCCTTGATAGTCTTTACCAAATTAAGTTCAAACTTGGCATCTTTACTAATTTTTTAAAGTCCTTTTCAGTCACGTTGACGGATTTTTGCTAAGTCAAAAGATGTAATGACCGTGGAGGGGTTTATTCAAATTAAATAATGCAACTTACTTATTCAGTAGAGTCGGCAGAACAACATCAGGTTTTATTAACGCAAGGTTCTGGAGAGCTCCAGCTGCATCAAAGCTGCCACTCTTGTTGAAGACAGCCAACATAACCGCAGGTTTAAGGCATTCAACAAATGCTGTCAATTCTTCATCTGTTAGCTTAGACTCATCAGGGATAGCAGTTTCCCAAGAGTTCTTTGGAAACCTCTCCCTAGCAAAAAGAAAATAATATGAGAAGGCAAAATGGTTTTACTTCTCATGATTCAGGGGGCAAAAATATGATGTAACAGAACTTTGTATTGTCAAGTGTGGCCTGTAATGATACATGTCCATTTGACTGAACAAACTGGGTGTTTATAAAATTATAAACCAGACTGGATTCCACTCAGTCCTAGTACAATTATTGATTAGATCCAACTGCTATATAATTTCATTCATGTACCTGATAACCACAACAAGAACAGGCACAAGGACCAGGGGTTAATAGTGAGGTGCAAATCACCGCATTTAGCATCATGGAAAACCTGTTATTAAATATTGTTACCTGTGAAGTCTTTTGATCATTTCTTTGGGCAAATTGTAAAGAAATCGCTGAAGCTTCCCCTGACAAAAACAGTAATACACTTTTAGGTATTAACACAAAGTCAATTTTCTTGGTTTTTATGCAGTACCATACATGAAAATGAAGGACATGACCACAAAAATCTCAAACCACTAATTACTTGTTTGAATGGTACATACGAAATTCTTCTACATTAAATTACAAGACACATTGAAAATAATATAGTACTTATAATAAAAATGCTATGTAGGATATCAAGTTCCTCAAATCAATATTTTCTTCCCAATTTCTCACCTTCTATCAGATTGAGTACAATGTATAGAGATTTTACTTGTCACTTACTGAATAGCGTCCATTATTTGATGGATGGTAAAAAGATTCCAGAGCTTTGAACAGTTTACAAAGATGCTCCTGGACTGGACTGGAATGATACTGTCAGGGTTTTAAGGAAAAAAACACAAACATTTCAAAATACTTTCAATGGTTCTAAAATAGGCCTTGATTGTAAGTGTTATGATCCGAGCCAATTTTCCAAGGATTTTTATCGGCTTATCAGAGCATAATGGTCCTTATATCTTCCCATCAATTTGCATTAACAGATTTTTTGCAAAGAGGCTGTATTCATCTTGTACTTTCTGAATAAGTCAATAAATCCCATAATTTTGCAAATTTAATTTCTGTGACATCATACTATACAGTGTATCGTATCTTCTCTATTGAGTGCCACAAGTCCTAAGAAGAAGATGAAATTCAAATTTTCTTCAAGTCCTGTCTTGGATTTGTCAGAGCTTTAGAGAGGTGGACATGGTGGTTTTGACACCTAACAATGTACTTACCATTGAATTGACAATCCAAACAACAAAAGAGCTGATGATACTTGAATAATCTTTAACAGCGGTAATTGGAGTATTACTCCCAATGGGAAGATGAAAGTTCCTCAAAATTCTAGTAAACACCTGAAGAGAGAAACACAATATTTTATTTATTTAGTTTAAGGGTTTGGTCTCCATTGGAAAGGAATTAGATCAAGTGTTTGATTGCTTATTCCCTGTGAGGGGACCCTGGCCATTTTCCCTGGATGGGGGGGGGGGGGGGCGTCCCTTTTAAAATTTGGGTTGGGTTGGGAAAGTTTCTTTTAGGCTATGGGGGGTTTCCGGGGGAGTCCTTTTAAAAAATTTTCAGAAAATTGTAAAGGGCCAAAAAAAAGAGGAATTGAAATTGAAAAAAAAAGCTTTGGAGGGGAAATGCCGAACTTAAAAAATTAAAAGGGTAATATGGATATTTTACCCCAAGGGAAAAAAAAAAATTCAAAAAAAATTTATAAAAAAACGAAAAGAAAAAAACAAATTTTTTTTTTTTTTTTTTTAGGGGTTTTGTTTCCTTTGGAAAAAAAATAGAAAAATGTTTTTTTTTGTTTTTCCCTGGGGGGGGGCCCTGGCGATTTTTCCGGGGGGGGGGGGGGGGGGGGACGTCACTTTGAAAATCTGGATTGGTTGTGGAAAGTTACTTTCAGATCATGGAGCGTTACCTGGAGAGTCATTTCAATAAATTTCATGAAAGTAGTACATGGCACTAACAAGCATGAATTGAAATTGAATATAACAGCTTTGAATGGTAAATGCCGATCTTACAAATATGACTGAGGATGAGGTATGTGGTGAACTTCAACATGATTTAAAATAAGAATATTGGTAGTTTCCACAGCAATCAGGTGAGGGGTCACTTTTACAATTTATGTAAAATTTTAGGGAGTCATTCCTAAAAAGCTAGGATGAAGTGGGGGCTTGGATTGAAATTCTTCTAAGCTTTCTCAACATGGCTGGCCTAACCTCACAGTTAACAAAGTGACCAGCCCCCAAAAAGGTCCATAAATTCTGATAAATATAGGAAGTCACTTACAGTTGGGAGGTATGGACTCCAATCAACAAAACCAATGTTGTCCTTAGCTAGCCTTGCAAATAACTTCAAGCAGGACTAAAAGCAATATAACAAAAAAAATAATGAAATAAATTATGGATGAATAAGTTATGATATTCGCTAATGCTTTTGAGTCTATGGATGAAATTTTACAGAGTGACCAATTACATGAAACCTCTTCAGCAATACTTCCTTGTGGCACTGCTTATTATGTTGTACGTCATGACCAATTCTAACTTTTGGTCTATGAAAAATTCATTTCATACATTGTATGACCAATCAAATGAAACCTCAATGAGAAGTACTCAAGATTGTTTTCATGATTTGGAATTTTTGTTTTTGAAGTTTGTACATAACAATAAAGAAGCACAATTTCATCAGCAGCTGCAGCAGCAGCAGCAACAGAAGCAGCATAAGCATTATCATCAACATCATCATATTCATCATCATCATTATCATCACCATCATCATCAACATCATAATAATCATCATCATCATCATAGTAAATATCATCACCATCATCATCATACTTATCATGGCTACTCATGCCAGAAACCACCTTTAAGGAGGGTTTAGTTATCAGTTAAAGCAACTGTCAAGAACAGGAAGAAGGCTTTGTGGTAAGTTGTCCTACCTCTTCCCACCTAGCACTGTTTGTGCATGATTGCCAAATACCCAGCAACTCATGAAACCACATTCTGCAATAAATAAATAAGCAAAATCCAATAAACTACAAAAAGGAAACAAGATTTATTCAAATTGAGCAAGTGAAGCATGTGCTACCCTTCTTATCTAAATATTATTAATAATAATAATAATAATAATGGTTCTTATTAAGAGCATTTCTGTCCCCAATGCGCTTTACATCATGATAAGAAAAAGAGAAAAATAAGAATCATCTCTCGCCTATGTGACCTATTATAAATAAAGTATTGCATGACAGTTTAATTCAATATACATGGTACGTGTATTTACAAAATAAGATAATGACAATGACAGTAGGCCTATTTAATGTGACTGCAAGGTTAAATACCAAGAGAACAAAAAGCTTTGTTCTAACACAACTGACTGACTCTCAAGTTGTTAACTGAAAGGCTATTTAGACATGCAAAATGCTTATGTTCATTTTTAGGTGAGGTGGTGGCTGTGTGTCTGTGATAAAGGTTTATCCTATATTATTTATACTCATCTTACTACATCAGTGTTTTGAAACCAAAAATAAACTATTGTTTAAAAGAATACCTACTTAAAACCTTTGTCATGCTTCTCAGGAGGTAAAGTAGTGGGTAAAAACAATGAAAAGTAAAACATTGCTTTGCCAAAAGTCACATCATAAGGACACATCAGTGGTCTCCATTCATCAAGCATTTCTTGGGTGGACTCCTCAGAAAAATACCTGAATATCAAAGCGACAATTGATTATTATATCTCTCAGCTTGTATGTGCACTATAATTGGTCAGTTTAGCAAGCCCTTAAGACATTAAAATTCCAAAGTTGTTTTTATTACAATTCATTTACAAAAGCAACAATGAACACTTATGTTTAGGATTTGATGAACCAGCACCACTATCATCAATCCATATTCCGCTTCAATGAAAATCATTGATGCCCCCTTAGTCTTTCTTTAAATGTCATCTGTATTAAACCATGGGTCTGAGCTCAAGTAGCACCCGCTGGCCTCTGGTGCCTTACTTTTGCTCTTCAAAAAGGTCAATTAGAAAATCTTAAATTTTTCATAGAAATCCTACACTGGGTACCCTGGATTTCACAAGCTCAAAGCATTGGGCTCCCCTCAATTTTTGTAAGAACACAGCCTCACACCACCAACATTTATAACATTAATACTTACACTCTTGAAACACGTACAACATGCTTGACTGTTTCTTCAAGCTTTCTGTATGAATAAAAAAAGATCAAAGATCATAACCACCTTTAAATTTAAATTCATAACTTGAATACAAATAGGCATTAATTTTTTCCAACTTGAATTAGCTAATTTTCAAGCATAAAAGGACAACTCACAAGCACCAAAATCTGACAACTTTGTCAATTTTAGTGAGTCAATCAATAGTAATGATTCTTGAATGATTCTTGCAAGCACCGAGTTCACCCTTGTTTAGATACGTTTTAACCGCCATGTTCTGTAAATGCAAGTTCAAAGTCATACTGAACATTCCACTTACAGGGGATGTTTCTTGAGTCCGGAAACTTCATATTTGGAATATAATGTGAAATCCACAAGATCATAAAGTGGTCTCCACGGTAACACAAGGTCAGATCTTGACAGCAATTCTCGCTTCCTAAAAGAATTGATGATAGGAGAAATAACCTGTTTAATCCGTAACATCAGGAAATGCTAAGAAACATTGCCTCAGCTTGTTAGCTCAATAAATCAGTGATTTTGTTACAAATAGCTACATAGGACATAAAACGGCTCTTTTCAGAGCACCCTGATTCTTTTCAGAACCAACCCGGTTCTTTTCAGAACCACCAAGTCAAGTAAAGTCAATAACCAATACTCTAAGCTTTTCTATTTTTTGTTTTATACCAGTTTAAAGTAAGAAAATAGGACATTCTTGCATTTCATTTCATGAAAATACTTGGCTATAAGACACACCCCAATTCTGGAACAGATCGAGGTTAATAAAGCAAAATTTCTTTGAAAAAATGCTGTGCCTTATAACCGAAAAAATACGGTATCTTGTGAAAAATATTGAGTGTCAGTCCAGAACCACTGAGTCCTAGTTCAAAACCGAGTGGGTCTCAAAAACTGAAAATCCTTTAGCTGTGATGTAACCAGACAATTAATCTACAGACAGTTTTTGACAGCAGCCACAACAACATCTACATCTGCATCTACTTCCTTCAGATCAATTGCTTGATCTTCACATCGTACGTAAACAGCATGCATACCATGAATAACTGTTCTCACTTAGTAAAAAATGTACCTTGATTAGGGAATGAAAGCATTCATTTACTTCTTTGTCCAGCATCCCTGATACATAAAAATTCCCAAAGACGCAAACTAATTTGTGGTATGCGTCCCACAAGATGTAACATCAGACCATAAGATGTTTTTTGTAGAGTATCCTGTTTGTGTGATTTCTGTGGCTGTTGTTTAACAACTCATATTTCTTTTTAGTCTTTTTTGTGCTTGACAATAGAAAGAGATATTTTATTGTCAGTAAACTGTAATTAATACAGAGTTTTGGGGTCTGTGATCAGATTAACTGTGAGGTTAAAGACCCAGGGACTCGTTGCTTTAAAACTGGGACTTGATGGTTCTGGACAAGGACTCATGATTTTTCTGAAGATGAGTCTCAGGACTCAACATAACTATTTGTAACAAAATCACTGTTAGAGATGGCAAATCTTCACTAAATGAAACAATGTAAGGCACACTTGTATGCTAGGATCATTCCACTTACTTTAGCAGGAGAATTAAGACATGGCCGAATGCAATGACATACTGAGGATCCAAATTAGGTGCTGTTGTCAGCTCAAAAAAGATGTGGACAAACTTCAGATGGTCCTCCTTGGAAAATTTTCTTCCATACAGTTTTAAATAGCTGAAGAATTAAAACAAAAACAGTTAGCTTCAATTTTCAGTTGCAGTTGTTTTTACTTTTCCAGCTAAGGGCTAATAATATTTTAAATGTACATGTATCACTGTCAAAAAGCCTACTGGACGCTTATGATTCTTAACATACCAACAGTTTCTCGTTTCATGACAGCAGGGTTCTCATTAAGTGCTGGCAGCCAGCTAAAAAACAGCTACTTGGAGGTTTGAGCCATCTACCTTTTGGGGAAATAGGGTAAAGGGAGAGAGTGAAAGCCTGAAATTGCCCACAAAACTCAATTGGCAAGCCACCTAATTTTACACCCTAGCTGTCTACTTTAAAACTTAATGAGAACCCTGTAACATTACAGTCAGTTGAAGCTCTTTTAACCGTTTTAATCTCAAGAGTGACTAACATCCCAATTACGAGAATACCGTATTTATTCGATTAAACACCCTGGGCGCTTATAAAATTTTTGGACCTTGAGAGTGGGCACTCATTCGAGGTGGGCGCTTATTCAAGGCTGGGCGCTTATTAAATTTCTACACTTTCAGCAAGTGTAGTATGTTAATTTTGCAACAATACAATAAACGGTAACAATAAAACGCGAAGATGTAACAAAGCAAGGTTTCTGTAAAATACTCTGAAGAAAACTCCGTCGTCGGGCAAGTCTCTTATTAGTACTTATTTAAGGTTTTTTTGGTGGGAGAGGCCAGAAAGGGGGTGGGCGCTTATTTTAGTTTTAGTTTGAGGGGGAGGGAGGTGGGGTGGGATGGGCGCTTATTTGAGGCTGGGTGCTTATTAAATTTTTCTGCCTTCTGGATGGGCACTTATTCGAGGTGGGTACAAATTCGAGGTTGGGCGCTTATTCAAATAAATACGGTAATGATCTCAATAGGGAAAGTGCTTTGATCTTTTGTCAAATTCTCTCAACTGGTTCTTTAACCCTTTAAACCCTAAGATCAAAATCTGAATTCTCATTTGTTGCCCCTATTCATTTCCAACAGAAGTAGTGGGGAAAATTTGATAAAATATCAAGCAAAATCATCTGGGGTGATCATGTTTATAATTCTCATGACAACTCTGTTTTACAAATCATTGATATTAAAAGGAGAAATTTGATGCTGATCACCCTTAGGGCTTAAATTGTTAAGCAGCCAGTACATCAAAGTCACAAAATATTGTAAAAAGCAATAATGTTAATTAAACCTCTATAATTATTTAAGTTGCCTCCTCTATCAAGTGGTGACGACCACCTTTCTGCCATCCTGAAAAGAGTTCTTCTAATGTTGTCACCCACCAACAAGCGCTTAATACACTTAGCCTGATGGTGGGTAACTAGAAAACTGAATGGTTCACGTTTGGCCATCATACTCAAACTTTGAAATTAATCAAATACAAACATTTATCACTGTAAGCAACTCGCTAAAAAGGCTGTGACTTAGGACTAGCTAAAATATTGCGAGAAATAAACTGACTTGAATTGAAAAGTATAATGAGGAAATAAAGTCCCAGAGAGGAGGTGATGACTGGTCGTGGACCAATAGACACCAGTAAAGACTATGCTAATTTATGATGAACCTCTATTGAGCAGCCAACCTCCGTTCGGCAGCCACTTGTAGTACCTGGGGGTGGCCACTTAATAAAGGTATGACTGTATTTATTTTACTTGGAATTTTTTAAAATGCCCCATCACAATACCCCTAACTACCCCATTGCCATCCCATCCAGAGGAGAGTAGCAAGACTCTTATATGGTTCAAACTGAGCCAAGCTCCAGCCATGTGTTCTCCACTAGCTTTCGGTGTGCCTTTAACTCTTTAAAGCATGGTTTAACTTTAAAGACTGGGGGTAACTAAAATGGACTTACCCTTAACCCAAAATTGAGCGTTTCAGATTTAAATCGATTTCGGTTGGAGTGTGAAGGATTCCGTTGAGAAAGTTATCATTATTCCTGGAAGGCAACAGGTCTGGTTCCTGTTACAACCTGATTTGAACCTTCATTTTTGCTATACTGAGGACCTCTTAGGAGGTACGTATGTCCCTAGTCTGAAATTCAAAACCCTATTTTTTTATGTTTTGAGGAGGAAGCCATGTCCCTGGTAATATTTTACTACTGTATTTGCATTTTTGTTTGTTGCTGTCGCAGTTTCTACCAATCGTTGTGTCGCTTGTTGCCTTCTTAGCTGTCCTACGTCACTGTTTAAAAGCAATGTCACTTTCAGAATTTTACCCTAAGAAAGCCTCTGTAAAAAGCCTCTTGTGAAAGGCTGACATTTTGTTTACTTGATGTCACTTTTGATCATTCCTTTGTTAAAAAAATTTCTTGCTTGCAGGCATGATTCAGCAATCAAGACTATCCTCAAACTACTTGTAGCCCAATGTCTAGAGACCCGTCATAAAAATCCCTATATCTTTGGACATGATCCCCAGATAATTTCAACTAAGTTAAGCTTACAATTTAACGGTTTTAATACACCGGCTATACTACGGTGGAGTAGATCACCACTTGGTGAATCATTCGAAGCAACTTACTTTGTCAGTCTGTTACTCCAGTAAAGTATTCCTGGGCTTGTCTCTTTGAACACTACAGCACGTCCAAGATTATATTTAATCTCCGAAAGAAACTTGTTCGATTCATCATCCAGTTGATCTTTATATGGTAGAAAACGGTTGTAAACTATTTCCTTTTGGGGTTTGAAGTCCAACATAACTAAAAGTAGGTGATCTCAAAAAGATCACTTGTTTTCTCTAAAACTTTTGCTCTTCTCTTCTACCGATACATTTCGCAGAATAAGAAGTAGAGCTCTTTTTTGTCCAGTAAAGCAACTACGGCACTACACTCACTCACCCTCGATAATCAATTTCGCCGATTCACTCTTACAAAGCGTGGCCATTAGTCAGCGGAATGATGCAATAACTTATGCGTATGACTTCTACACTAGAGCCAGTTTCCGCTGGAAAAATACTCATCCGATAGGGTCTGGGTCTCGAAGCACGAGGGTTGTTGAACCCAAGACAAAACTACAGCAAACACCTTTGTGGTTTAATAAACTTGGAAAAAAGATAGTGATTATCAGAGAATTATCATTTATTATCACAGATTATGTTTATTCTAGGTCATGGTTGGTCTCTTCACTTGCTACAGTTTGATTTTGTAAATACATACTTAAAACATCACTGTAGAACATAGTTGGTAATTATATAACTAACTCACGCTTCGAACAAATATAAACATTAATAATAACAAAGACGTTGTTGATTTCCCCCTGACGATGATGATGATGATGATGATGATGATGATGATGATGTCATGCGATAACAACCAATGCGATGAAACTGAGTCAGATATCACTGGCCTTAATTAATCCTCGTCTTGAGCTTGTGAACGAAATCCAACGGTGTAACCAGGGTCCGTGTCAAAACTACGCAAAAGAACAATGGGTCACTCCGATAGAAGCACTTATTTCTCAGGTTGCTGATTTAATCAAATTAAATCTGAATTTTGAATTTTTAAATACCTTTCCTTTTTTAAGGGGGTGGGGGGGGGGGACAGAAAGGAAAATCTACTATCTCACACCTCCTGTCCTCTCTTGTCGTTAATTCTCCCACCCCCCCTACCAATTCTCGAAAAGGACATTCCATTTCATACCTAGGGTACCGGCGGTTTTGCCTCGCGAGCGACGAGGAGTTTCGTCGGCCAAGTTGCGATCGCTCTCCCTCGCCACTCTGTAGTGAGTCGAAAAAAACAACAGCGATAAAACGGTGGGAAGAAAAAACAAAAAAAAAAAAGAAAGTTACTCCAATAAAAAGATGTTTTTTTTTTTGTTTTTTTTTTAATAAAAATTTTATATTTTTTTTTTTTTTTTTTATTTCTTTTTTTTTTTGGGGGGGGGGGGGGGGGGGGGGACAGAAAGGAAAATCTACTATCTCACACCTCCTGTCCTCTCTTGTCGTTAATTCTCCCACCCCCTCTACCAATTCTCGAAAAGGACATTCCATTGCATACCTTGGGTACCGGCGGTTTTTCCTCGCGTGCGACGAGGAGTTTCGTCGGCCACAGGCCGACACGTCTCCGGAGACTTAACCGACTTAACCGAAAGCAGAGATCGCGCATGAAAATCCTCTGGCACCCAGGGTATCCATTTTAATATGACGCAATATAAAATTTTTGATTTTTCTCATATTTTGATCTTTCGCACAAAACTAATGAAAAGGTTAACACTTAAAGAGGAATTTCTGAACGTTGTCATCAAGGTTTCTTTTTGCATGGCTCGGGATTCCCATGGGAGCGTAACCATGGAAATCAACGTCTTCAGCTACGCCCTCACCGTGCACATCTCTGTCGTCCAAGAAAAGCGACAAATATTTGCCTTGAATTATTTTAAACGTCTCCGAGCCCGGTTCTTTCCAAAATACTTGAATATGACTTCGGCCATTTGACTGCTTATGAAGAGCTTCGATGTAATATTTCTTAGATGGTGTCAAAGCAATTTTTCTTGACATTTGAATGGGGTATTTTTTAAAATTATAAGGTGTTGTAGATCCCGCGCCACTTGCAGAATACACTGCCGCTATCAGTCGGGATTTCTTCGGATTGCTGTCGGAGCTCAGCCAAAGCTCCGATGTGTCATCGGAACTGATCGCGAACTCGTGAAATCCTCGTTTCTCAGGGTGAATGAACCCAAAAATCCTTTGTCCGAACTCGCTCCCTTCTTGCTGTGATTTGAAGTCACTGAGAAATTTTCGAATATAAGGGAAACGTGGAAATAACGGAGAATGTCGCAGCTGATCTACATATGCACCACAAATTCCTTGCCAAGTATGAACGTTTAACTTTCCGGCCATGTTATTTGGTACAACTTGTTCAAAAAAGGCCGAAAGAAGCTCATGTCCTGAAATTTTCTCATCATCGGAGTGGAAACTTAATTTATCTTGCTTTTTCCCTTGATCGGATTCGGGTGTAACGATTACAACCTCGTCCTCTCCGACAAGTGCCGAAGGATTTTCGTGTCGACGTAATTCAATAGTACCGGTCTGCTCGTGTAGCATTTCCTTCCCTGAATTAATGACAGTAACAACTGAGGGCTCGGGTGACTCGAGTCGATATGATTGGATGTTGGGAGCCTTTGTCATATTCAGCAATGTTTCGAAAAAGAGTGTTTGCTCTTTCAGCGAACGCAAATCGTGGCTGAGCGAGATTCTTTTCTCCATTTTATATCCCGATTTTTGAATAAAATCCTCTTGAGAAAAGCTCCGGTGAAGCAAGAATATGACAGCAAGTGGGAAAAATACAACTGGAAGAGTACAGAAACACCATAAAGCGTTCCCTTGACTTTTTTTGTTGTAACGTGAAGTCATCGCAAGACAGCAGAGCCTTCTTTTGAACTTAAGCAACGCCGATCGAACGCGCTCAGTGGAGAGCAAGTGAAATTTGGCCAGGCTGCGACGATTCTTCTCTAAACTGTTTAAATCAGGCGATGTGAGGGATCTTAAAGAAGTGGCCAGGTACAAATTTAGAGCGACCTCACCGTTTTCAAATTACTCGCCGCCAGGGACCAGATTTTCCACCGCCACAACAGACAATTGCGTTCAGTGCAAGTTTCTGTGTCAATTGTTTTTATCAAACAAAAGTTTCGAACTGTTACCAGGCTAACAATAGCGTATGACACTATTGACCCTGGGTAATGTTTAAAGGGATTCTTGGAATTGCTTTCTCGCTCCAGTTAGAAGCTTCACGCTCTGTAAACAACGTACGACTGAAAAAGCTTTCCATTGGTTGACCCGTGTACTAGACTAAAATGCTTCACTACCCCGGTGTGTTTGATTAATCACGCGAAAACACGATTGAATTATTTTACCGTTCCGGTTCACGCTTAACATAACGTTTAAGAACGGTTTCGATTCATTTAACGTTTCGCGCATTCGTGGCGCAATTAGCACACATCGATAAGCCCAGAGCCTCTTTTGAGCTTCCCAAAAGATTTAAACCGTTTTTTCGACTATTCTCTTTCTAACCACCAAACTCTTTCATGATCAGCCTCAATATAAAACATTCCGTTGTTTTTCTTACGGAAAACTTCGCCATTCGTTTTAGGTAGTCCCATTAATATGATTTCACAGCATCTAAGAGCATAATTTGCAAATTGGAAAATACTTATCCATAAACCCGTCCAAGGTCCTTTACGGAAATATATATGTCATAGAGTTTGAACTTTTGAGTCTGTGAACAAAATCCCCTTCGATGTGAACGCACAGGTACCCCAAGAACCGTTCTTGCGTAACAAAAATATTGTAACGATTTCTATGAGGATTTTGGCGATCGTTAATTAGGAGTCAACAATAGCAAGGAAATACATCAGAATATCTTACCTTGTCTCCTTGTGTTATTTGTATTCGTGTTGCATTGCATTTTTGGTCGCCTCAAGGCGATTTCGACAAATGAAACGAGGAGGCAAGGTAAGAAGTTCTGATGTATTAAATTTTCTTTTCTATTTTAGTGCCCTAAATAACGATCGCTAAAATCCCCATACAAACCCTAATAATATTTCTGTTACGCAACAACGATTCTCACTCGTGAGCTTGGGGTACCTGTGATGAACATTCAAATAAAAGGCCTTATAAGGTACTTTCCCCAGTGCTATTTAATTAGTAGGAAGTTCTAACCTTTGAGACTGAGGAACAAATACTGTGGTATGAGCATTCAAAAGAAACGAGTCGATAGTAGATTCAGAAATAAGATCAAAACCAGCGTTAGAATCAGCGGTAGACGATACTTCTTCGGAGTAGCGAAAGGAGACACGCGTGCTTCGCCGCTCGAGTGTTCTCTCGCGGACGTGGATCGTTTCGCTCACCATAAATGGAGAGCTTGCTCGCAAGTTAACGCAAACTATCCGGTTGAAATTTCAGTCATGAACATTGAAGGAGCTAGCGTAAAGAACCACAATTTTTTTTTTTGCACTCATTAATTAGACGTCACTTTTAAATTTCTTCGTTTCGCTTAATTCTAAATGCTTTGTGCGACCTCATTTCGACCAGTCATTCACCCATAAATTCGCACTTCACATTTTTCTTATGCCTCACGCTTCACGTTTTTTCACGCTTCGTGTCCCCATATTCGTTTCTCGTTTCACGTTTCGGTGGCCTAATCCACAGCTGTAGAGATAAATGAATTGGTATTGCCTAAAAACCTATTCTTATCTTTATTATGTTTGTTTGTGTTTGCTCCATGCCAAAGGTTTTTCGGCACCTGGTCGATTTCGACGTAAAGATACAAAATGAAGAAATAATAAAAATAAATGAATAAACAGACTAAAAACGTAAAAAATCTGGCTTATAACGCTGTGATTGCGACAAGTCATACACATCTTTACTTACATTTCACGTTTCTATTTCACGTCCCACGCTTCGTTAACACCCTTTTCGTTTCCGTTACTAACGGGTATTTTGTTTCACGCATTGGCGCACACGCCTTACTATTCTAATTCACATTTCACGCTTCTGAAGATAAAGTTTCTTCGACAGTGTTCTTTTGTCGCCGAGTTTTACCCTGATGGTTATCACCTTAAAAGAAATTCCAATTAAATTCGTAAATCAATCAACCGAGGTCTTTAAAACTTAATTCACAATTATAACATTTTCAATAAGCCGGAGTTTGAAACCGTTACATGGAACAACAAGTAACTACAAACGGGTTTTTGTTTGCTTGTTTTTGTTTTTTTCTCTTTACTCAGACCCCGGTTTTGTCTTAAATATCAGACACCTTTCCACCTTGTTCCTCAAGCCGAATACCATTTTGAGTCGATGGAACCAAAAGTGTTAACTTCGATTATTTTTACTAACTGGCCACACCCACTGTATTCTTGTTTTCCGCGGGTTGTACAGATGAACCCATCAACCTACCCACTACAAAGACAGTCATTTGCTATTCATTAATTTAAGTTCAGTGGGTTTCCTGTGTAAGATTCACGCGCTTGCATAGGGTCATACGCAACATTTTTACACAAAAAGTGAACTTTTAATATTACTTTTTTAACCACATAAAGATTAACAAATTGTAACATCAGCCAAGTCTGTAGTGTCCAGGATTAACCGAGGCAGACTAGGCTGTTGTAGCAAACCAAACTTTCTGAGCCAAAATAATCAGTCTTCTGTTTTATCATAAATCTTATCTTTTGTTGTGTGAACAACCGCCATCGAATTATTAACGTGTTCAACCGAGTAAGTCCAGTTCTCGAATCCGCCTATCTGTAATGGCTCTTTTAAATCATCTTCCAGCATTTTGGGTGGATACGAGGATCCTGCTACGTTTCCGTACCTGAAACGAGCGCGGTTGTATATTTGCTCCACGTGGGAATGCAACTCAGTAGGCACTTTAAACTTTCGCGCCAGGTCGTACCCTAGATTCAAATCCTTGCAATGAAGCTCCATTGTAAAATCAGGGTTATAAGTGCCATTGAAGACTAGAGGACCTTCTGTTTCCCACACGTATGAGTTTCCCGCGCTGAACCTGATAGCTTCAAACAGAGACCTTAGATCCAAGCCGCCTCTCTTCCCCAGCATCATGGCTTCTCCCATTGCCACGTTATTGGTTGCTGCTAACATATTGGAAATGACCTTTGCTATCGTAGCACTGCCCATTTGGCCCATGTAAAGCACCTTCTTAGTGCTCTGCTGGAGAATTGGGAGGCAGTCTTCAAAGAGCTGTTTTTCTCCGCCCACCAGAACTGTCATTTTACTCTGCTTTAGAAGTGCCATGCCTCCAGTTACGGGCGCTTCAAGTACACGAACACCTCTCTCCCCTTGAAAAGAAATCAATAGTGTAATATTAGATTGAGCCGAAGCCTAATAGCGGAGCTCTTATGAAATACTGTTGTTATTTACATCGCAGAATCAGTGCATTCTCACTCATCTGACTTTTATTTCCTTTCCTTCTCACACACTCGACAGCATAAGAATTCTAGGTTGTTTACGGAGATTTATTCCTAAAGTGCAGTACATAATTTTCAAATCTTTGTACTTGAACGTAAAGAAAGTCATAACAGGATTTTCAACCTGCTCTTTTTTACACAGTTTTATTACATCAAAACCAACTGAAAGTAATGGCCACACCTCACAACTCTACAGTATGTCCAGTGCACAGCAGTACCACCCACGCAGTGCGTTGCAGCAATGGACAGCTGTTTTGCCCTCGTTTGTGCTTATCAACATTTTCAAGGTACCAGTCATAACGCGGAGTTGTGTAGTTTGACCATTGATTATCCTAAATAAACCAGCCTTAACTGTCCCAGGCGTTCAGGTAGTGGCAGCAGCCTCTCTCCACTAACTGAAAGCCTGGATCCAAGATAATAGTGTGTAGTCGGGCAGTAAAAGTGATGCGAGAACTCGCTGGGGCTACAGTCCTCAGATCACGCGCGTCTAATTTTCCCTTGGTTTCCTTCTTGGCTATCTGTACAGCACAGGTTAGGCTAAAACCAGTCATACCTGCTTCTTTAGCTAGTTCCAGAGTCTGTTGATAATCCGTAGTGGAATGGTCAATCCACACTCCACCAGACCGCAATCCAGCTAACACCCCATCCTCGCCTTTCAGAACCTTTTTTACGTGCGGAGGAGCAGGAAGTGCTGTTATGACAACATCACACATCCCGGCCAGTTCCTTGGGGTTCCCCGGACGGGGTATATCCCCAGGGAGTTCCTGCCCTGCTTTTACGTTAGTATCAAGAAGAGCAGATACAGTAAATCCAGAGTTTAGGAGATTCTTGGCGACTGTTGATCCAACATTTCCCAAGCCTATGATCCCGATCCTTTGAGCGGGTTTTGTGGAATATGCCCTGCGGTGGCTGCCATGAAACGCGCTCGAACGGCTAAACAGGAAACGAAGCGATGTGATTCTGTTCATTTGGTTGCGGCTGTATCAGTTGAAAAGAAATATTTCATTGTCTATTTAATCTCAGAGGAAATTTTAACGATGACCCGCCTTACTGACGGCAAAAATAAGTCAGGTGAAAACAAACTTGCGTACGGCCGGGTTTACATATGATCATAAGAAGAAAAACTTTAAGCGATCACCCTTCATGATTACTGTAACAACAGGGATATAACAGGGGGGTGAATAGGGGTATGCAAATCCGCCGATCTGTTATGATTTATTAACCAAATCTGCCGTTTATTAACCAAAACCTTGAACCCACGCTTGTGTGTGCCTACCAACTTTTCCCGAGTCGAGCTCTTCGTTCACCTGGTCATTACCGGAATTTCCGAACGTTTCCGATGATTTTCCGAAGACTCCTGAACGTTGCCAAAAATGCCTGAAGATGTTCCAACCACCTTTGAGCACTTCCAAATCGATTTCAAAGCAACATTTTAGCGTGTTAAGCGTCTCTTTGGAATATCTTAGGGAACATCGAATTCAATTTTCATTATTAATCATGTGTTAAAGAACAAATCGTCCGGACTGTGATTCGAGCGTGCGAAATGACCGAAACCGTCCGTATAAATGCGTGAGATCAATGTCTTGAGTGTGCAAGCGCGGCGTGAGATTCACGTATAATGCGTGAGAATCAACCTCATCCCTAGGGTCTTCTCCCTTTCCAATATGGCGGCGCCATATTGGACAGCGAGAAGACTCTGGGGACGAGGTTGCGTGAGAATCTGACCCAAAATTGTTTCAGTGTCTTTGAGGCTGAGGTCGGGTGGGAAATCGGGCAGTTTGGGGCAAAGGGTTAGCCATCATCCCAGTACATTTTTACATTGGTGTAACCTCGGGTGTTAGATGGGTCTTAGGTCTAAGGTCTCTTAGCTCTTTCGTGTTCGTTTTGTAGACAAGGCCGCGATATGTATGCAAAAAAATCTGACACTGGGGGAAAAACGAGGCAAAAGTGCATCCGTGACCCTAAATTTTGCCAACCCTATCAATTTGCATTTCAGACACACGCAAATGCAAACCACCAATCAGGTTTAACTACCGAACAAGTCAGGTCATATACCTGCTATTTAATTTCGTTTAGAAATACCGTCGAACCCGGGGAACGGCTAAGTGAGTGCTTTATAATACAGGGTGACCGCCTAATGCATGTTTCAATAAATACAGTTCAAGGAATTCGATCTCCAGTGCTGATCAGATCAGAAGTTTGACCTCATGAATAAAAACATTCACTTACGGCGTTTTATTGATTTGCGAAAATGTATGAACAAATAATTGACACCGTGTGACCGTTTAAACGTGTTTAATACAGGTCAAGACAATGAAAAAAGTCCCGTTGCGACTTCGCAAATGGTGACCGCGACCTCTTAATAGAGGTCGAAATTACAATACATCAAGGGAGGTAATTTTCGGGACTTTGAAAACTGACCGCTTAATAGAGGGTGACCGGTCAATAGGGTGCCGCTTAAAACAGGTTCGACTGTATTTATATTACGCTAGATTAACCCATTTGGAAGGGTGCGATAAGTGCTGAATCAGGGATAGTTTTATTGGAGTTGTGACCCATAATTCTGACGTAATTCTGTTTCCATTCTACGATTATTTCGATTCACGATTTTCGTCTTACGATTCTCCAATTCTTGACCTATTGTCTCGATTTTACAGTTCTTTGCTGTTTTAGTCGTTTGGCGACTACGTTTCTTAGGGAAATAGCGCGCAACAAACGTAATATTCCTCTTTCTTTAAGCCTTTAATGAAGCAAAACAAGCGTGCCCTAAGGGTAATATCAGCTAATATCGCGTAAGCCTCAGTGAGTAAATTTGTTGCGTAACACGAAACTGATTTGAAACAGATTAAGTCGAAATCACTGTCTTTCGGCACGTTAGAATTATATTTACAATACCTTGAGTTGAAGCGTTCCTTTACCAAACTGCACAATTACTTGGATTGAAATGGCCCTTCTGGTTCCTATTGACCGCTGTTCTTACCTAGAAACGTCAGGTCACGATGCAGAAGCAATGTTTTATACCCCAAGGTCGGAAACGAAAGGTCAATCAAAAGTGTCAAAGAAGCCCCACCCCTGGGGAAAAAAATCTAAAGAAACAATACTATACTACTATATAAAACGAATAAAAGAACATTTCAAAAGTACGTTCTTAGTACTTTTATTTCAGGTTAACGAAAGCTCCGTTAAATTACTTGCTGTAATTAAGTATTTTCTCTCTCCACTAGCATCTCTTAATCACTCCAGGAAGATTGACCGTGCTATTATAATATTAATGAAACGTACCATGCTTTATAACATCAGTGACCCGTAAAAAATCCTTTTTGGGAATTGTCACCCCACCTCCGATTATTTCCAATGGTCCGTCCCTTAGGGACCAGTCGTTTATTACGTCTCAGGAGAGGTGGCGGGGGTTGGGGTTTGGAGGGGGGCACAATTTTCTAAGAGGCTTGATTTTGGGGGTTAATTTTGAAAATGCACAAAATGTGAGGGGGGTCGATATATTAAGAAACAGGGCTGGCCTTCAATGTAAAAGTTGTCAAACTATATTATGATTGAAACAAATCCACGTTTCTTTCAAAAGTAGACAAAACAGCACCTGAAAGCATATTTATCATTAAATTGGGATAAATATTTCGCATTATATTGGTGTTTAGGTGTTAGGATTTCCTTTATCCTTTTACTGATTAAGTGGAGTGAAATGGATCCGAAAGTGAAGCCACAGACCCGACAGACCTTGGTTGAGACTTTTGACCAAGCCAACTACAATTATACCCCGGAGTATAATGTAGCTCTCATGACTTTGTTGACTTATCATGTGTCAACATGCACAGCTGAGCGTAGCTTCAGCGGTATGAAGAGACTGCAAACTCCTTTATGAAGGACTATGGCAGACGAGAGATTGTGCAATTCTGCACATACACAAGCACAAGGACGTAATTAATTAACAGAGTTTGCCCGTCTGAAGGGTACACATCTCGTCCTTTGCTTGTAACGTCCTTGATGGCGTCACTGTTTTACCCTTTTTTGCCGTAAACAGTCTGTACCTTACCGATAACACTAGAGATAGATGGGTAAAATAAACAACCAATTACTGCATCTTCCTTCGTCTTTATTTACCGAAAATGTCCTGCAGAAAACGCAGGAGATGGCATTTTCGAGACCCCAAAATTAAAAGATATACTGCGATGTCCTTTTGTTGGATACGTGACGTATCGATGTGTAAAATTCTCGTAAATAAATATAAAAATCCCTTTGCGTTTGTTAAGTGTACTCTTGCTAAAAAGGCCACAGTTAACATATATTTGTGGCCACGATAAGTGCAACTTAAGATGATGTGAGTAAAAAACGCTAACATCCGGAGTTTGTACAGCTTTGTGCGTACAGGATATTGAATGAGAATGAATAATAATCATCAATGGCTTCGCACGTAGCCTCGCTTTCAAACAGAGGCTTTAGACAATTCGGAAATGGCCAATTCACTGCGTTAAGGTGACGTTACAAGAGCCGATTCGCAGCGACGATTTTAAGCGCAACACAGTCTTGCAACATTGTTGCAGCATTGTTTTGAATGGTTACAACATTGTTCCAACATTGCAACGTTGTGTTGCGCTAAAAATCGTCGTTCCGAATCGTCCCGCGTAACATCACCTTTATCCGCATTAGCTGTGTCAACTGAACGCCTGTTGGCACGCCATCAGTGCGTCCATGGCATTAGGTGAGATCCTAAGTTTTTCCAGCGGTATTCCTTGGAAATTGTATTCGTATCCACTGTATGTGACCCATTTGCCGTCATCATCTCCTTTGGTGTGGTGGCCATCATATCGGGTGACGCCAGAGGGGTCCTGAGACGAACGCAAATAATATTACGCTCGTTACGATGAAGCACAGGGTAACCAATATTGGGTTAATTTTGTGGCTGGGGGAAGAATTAGGAGATAGTTTTTGTTTTTCAGCAAAAACCCTTGGAAAAAGTCTGTTTCATTTACAAAATGACTGGTCTGGCCATGGTCCGGCCGGCCAGTTCTGACTTGTGGAAAGCACCCTTACAGGATAGTTGTTTACCATTCACATAGGCAAACCAGTCGCTCCACGGTTTCGGCAAATGGTAAGCAAAATTTTCGACTGGTAAATTTCGTTCCAGAATCCCGTTTTCCATATGTACAAATCAAAGATGGCTTTGAAGAAGAAATGAACACGAATTCCGTTTGAAATATTCCATCCGGAAAAACAGGACTACCTTTTCAGAGATTCCGTTGCTCCCGGAAATTTTCCCCTAGAACGACTTAGAAAGTCGTGTTCCATTTACTCTCCAACTGGATTTTCCGGAAACTTTTTGTAAATGGTAAACAACCAATAACTTAATGGTGATGCAAGTAAAACAGGGTCTCAATATCGATGATAACTACTAAAAAAATATTTCGCTTCCAAACATATAATAAGAAAAGGACCAGGGAGCTCTTAAAAAGGAGTAACGAACCTTCCAGACGCGTGTGACAATCCCCTGGTGAAACCTTATTCCTCCGGTGTTATTTCCTTCTGTGGCTCCGTACGATCCCTGGGGGAAGAATACGATTGAATCCACACCAACTTGGTCTACGGTGGGCACCTGATCAATAGCCAGGTCCTAAGATCACAAGCAAGCAAAATTAGTGATCAGTGAATGACTAAGTGAATGATTGACACATTCGCTAACGGACTGATTCAGGGACAGAGTGACTAACTGACTGACTGCTTGAGATTGCGAATTGACTGACTGGCTGATTGTCAGACCACGAGTGAATGAGAGACTGGCTGATTGAAAATGATTTACAGACTGACTAACTGAATGATTTACAGACTGACTAACTGAAGTCAGTCTGACTAAGTGACTGAGAGACTAAAAGACGGACTGGCTCACTGAATGACTCACTGACTGAAAGATTAACAGACAAACTGACTGCCTGACTAGCCTGTACACAGAAGTTGTTTTATTTTTCCTTGCGTTCTTTTCGAAAATATCGGCGAGCGCGCGAGAAGGAAAAATAAAGAACGTCTATTTTTCTTCTTCCCCCACCCCTACCTCCTTGCGCTGGCGGTCAATAAATCCCCCGCGGTTTTTATTTTTTATCACCCACGCTCAACGGACTTTGAAAAAAAAAGAGAGAGTCTGTGAACAGGCTATTAACTGACTGACTGGCTGACTGAGAGACTAACAGACTGACCAGCTGACTGAATGACTATCCAGTATGCTATTCTAAAGCTTAAAAGAAAGGGCCAGCCTAATCAACCTCGCACAAGCATTTATCAGAATTTGCACTCCACCTTATAAGATTGAACTTTTCCTGTTGGATCCCCGTCGTCCCAGTTCACCGTGTATGACATGGTCTCTCGGTCAAAGCTGGCGATTGTCGCACCATAGAATGCCCACTTCATGTGGTGGGAAATCACGTGGTCACCGATTCTAGGTGCGCGGTAGCTTCTGGACTCCTCCCGAACACCAAGCAAAGGCAAAATGGCTGCCCTGCAAGAGAACAGAACGCTGTTTTTCCACGGACCGTAATAAAAAATGTATTAAAAAAGCAAATATATACCTATCACATTCAACCGAAAGGTAATAGAAAGTGCTAAGCATGAAAGCAAACTGGAATAATTCACTAGTTTAACAAAGTGTACAAGACAATACGTTTCATGGGACATGCAACATCTGGCCACCAAACCATGTATTTGGTCTTACTCGTGAGTGGTCGACAAAGTGAACCAGTCGCAAAAAATGATTAAATAAAAAGACCAAATACCTATCAAATTACTCTCGAAAAATACCAAACCTCTCCAATGTAAGAAAATTAAAGCTTTCACTCTGATCTGTCTCTGGTCACTTACTGAATTTCTTGTACTTTCTGATAAAATTCCCCTTCAGACTGAACATTCTGTAAGTTAATGGCAGGGTTATCTTGACCAGCAACCAGCAATCCCACTACTGTACTCTGCCAGTCATCATCTGCGCCCACGATCACCGGAACCACTGGTTTCTTTAGAGACTAAAAGAACAAATCACGTATGATTACTGTAAAGTCGCGCTACATATATACTCATAAACCCTTTCCAATTTCTGTTACTTGTAATCTCTTTTATTTTCTACTGTGGTAGAAGAATAACAAATAAATATCTCCTCGCCTCAAGGATCAAAGGAAAATATATCAACGGCTTTCAATTTTCCAAGGTAGTCTCATACCCAAGTTTGTTTTTACTGTGCCTACCTTTATAGCAAACTGGATTTCCATTCGGCAGTTTTCACTGTTTGCATACTGTTTACTCACAAAGGCCAGTACTGCTTTAGCCTTTCCAAGTCCTTCGGCGATCTGCGCAAACTAAACACACATAAAAGGAAAAAATGACTACTACTGCTACTACTACTAATGTAAAAAAATAATACTATTAATTTACTACCTATAAATAAAAACCAAACCCAACTAAAGTTATTTGTAGAGGTTGATTCGTGACAGTTACAAGAACTGATATACCTGTCGCTCTCTAAGCGTCCGCAACTGATTGCAGACACTTTTGAGACGGAATTGGCGTCTGGAAATGTTGGTTTCATGAGGAGAGATGAAAACGGTAGTACCCAGAGAAAACCCTCTCAGAGCAAAGAAGAGAACCAACATTAATCCCATGTGGTGGTGTGATACTCCTCGGAGTTTTTGGTGGGGTGTGCCGCCTGGTTCTCCGAATCCTGACCCTATATCAGACCCGGCCTCTAAAATCAAGACCCATTCTCAGACCAGGCCGCTAGGAAATTATGTCATCATTTCTTTGCCTAGTCCCTAGGCCTCATTATTATGCGCAGCCAATGCGTTTCGGGTCACGTGGTCCGAGAAAGTTTTTGAGGCGTCTCCCGGCCTCCCGGCCCTTCGTCTCGGATACGTCACCGAAATGCATCGACCGAGAGGGCCTGGAAAGACGCCGTATAGGGACTAGGCAAATCATTTCTTACATTAGAACAATAACAAAAAAGATTTCTTAAAATCAATGTCGAATTTTCATATTCCTCTTTCTTTCTTACTCATTTGCAATTGAAACGATAAATACGTTCATACACTTCCTTTGTTCCCTCAAAAACTAAGCCCGATTCCAGTCCAAAACGAGCAAAATCTATAACCGTTTTCAGACCAAAACGGCGCAAAAACCCTACCCTTTCGGGCGACACATACGTAAGTCGCTTATATAAGGGAGCACCCCCTGGGCATTATACTCAGCCCAAATAAGGCATCGACACCAGGCCATATTATGGGGAGACTAGGGCGCAAGACAATCCAATGAACCAATCAGAACCAATCTGAGATTTGAATGAGGGGTGCGCGGCAAAGTGCGGGAAAGCCAGACGGTGTAAGATTTTCACACAATCCAAAGGAATTATTTTTGACGTTCAATTACAAACTTTTCTAAATTCGTAATTGTAACACAACACTACTTACCATCCCCAAAGACTCATCATTCTGATTGGTGGTTTTAAGTCGCTCCGTGTCAATCCACAAAGAGAACTTGCCAAAATTAGCAAGACTTGCGTGAACTTTCCTGGCGTCAGCAAAAGGGGAACCAGTGAAATCCTTTACCTGGTAAAAAGATACCGTTTAGATTAAGACCAATCACTGTTTTATTTTTTCAGTTGTCTATTTGCCAATGAGTTTTTATGGAGTAGAAAACATTGTAAAAAACTCTTACGCAACCTGTCACTTTACAAAGCTGATAAAGTCCGAGTAATTCGGGCGAATCATTAGTTTCGTTTTCTCGTAATTTTGCCCTGACTTTTCGAATTTCCTACACTAACTGTCTTCACTAGATCAGGTGAAGAACCTTTTCGGTAACGTGTTTATGACTCGGTATCCGGCTTTTAAGGGGGTTTCTCCTAAATGGTGATCGGTTTTTTTATTTACTGAGATTTGTGATTGTCAAACATTCAAAGTCGTAAACTGTAAACGAACAAGGGAAACAGGGGAACAAGGGGCACAAGAGGGAATAAGGGAACAAACGAGAACAAGGGGGAACAAGGCGAAAAAGGCGGAACAAGAGGATAAAGGGGGGACAAGGGAAACAAGGGGAACAAGGGAACAAAGGGGAACAAGGGGGAACAAGGGGAACAAAAGAATAAGGGGGAACAAGGAGAAAGAGGGGGAACAAGAAGAACAAGAAGGAACAAGAAGGAACAAGGGATACGCGAAACAAAGCAATAATTGATGATAACCAGAAGCATATGCGTCTGTGATAACTGATAAAAAAAAAATTGCTTCAACCAATTTGAAGCACTACCCAGATCAAGGTAGTAACAAGTCATCAGTACGTCATCTCTACGCTCGTCTCTCAGATGTTTTTTTTTTTTGAGGGGATATCAGAGGTGGCATCGCGAGATGTCGGCCCTTTTTTCAAGCTAACAAATTTAAAGAACCCCAATTGTAATCTGTTTCAATCTTACTTTTCATCCGTGTGTTCTTTTTTCTGACTCATTTGGTTAAAAACGTTCTTACACTTGGTTTGATGGTCAGTTCCTAATGGCTGAATTTGGGTTAATTACATGTCAGGGCTTCTTTTCGATCCTTTGTCAGTTTTTCAGTTCTAAAATGTAAGACTGTGCCATACTTACTTGCTTAGACCTGAGAGCACTTTCTGAATTTGACCAGCAGTAACTCACAAAGACATCTGCAGTTTTGAGTGGCTTCGTTCCTGGTCCAGACACTTCTGAAGTTTGTAAATCTGAGGAAAGAAAACACATATTAAAGGGGCTAAGACACGACAGTCCAGTCCACATTAGGGAGCTTGAGTAACGACGAGGGCGACAGCAACGAGAACGGCAAAAAAGCAATAGGTTTAGATTAGCAAAAACAACTTTGCACGTGCATCACGCTTTTTTTGTACATTTCTTTGCCGTTGTTGCACGACTACAACGTGAAAGTTCCTAAATTCACGTTTTATTGAGGACGAGAACACAAGACAACAACTTTCTTTTTCTTTTCCTGCACTTTGATACAGTCCTTTAGAATCCAACTCCAAACACATTTGCCAAAATTTGACGAAGCAAACGAAATAAATGGAATAAGCGCGATAAAGTTTGAAGCAGCGCGAACTCACTTTTTAAGTGACGTTTTTGTAGCTGTCGCCCTCGTTGTTGCTTAAGCTTCTGTTGTTGATTATCGCCAACTACCTGCCCTTACTCGCTATGGAATTCAGCCTACGTTCACAAGGCAAAGGGCGAATTTTTGACCGGCTGAAAAATGTGACCGGCCAGTTCGTTCACATGGGACCGTTCAGCATTTTCGCTCCGTTCACACCGCACTTTGAACAGCTACGCGTCTAAATTTTCGAACAGTTAAGGTGGTTCAGAAAAGAACACCTACTAACGGTTGGAAACTCTGCAGTGATGTGAGCTCACATTACTGCAGAGTTTCCAACCGATGCCCCACCCAGTTATGACGAAGCAGTATGAATGTATCGAAAAGTCACAAATCTTGTCACTTAAGGGGGGTTGCCACTATTTTAATTTCAATAACAATTCATGTGAAACTCACCTTGCACGCTTCCCATTTCACCAGGAAGAGCAACCTGTGGAACACTCTTCTTCACCGCTTTCAGCAGCTCAGCCATTTTAGCCTCCTGGACATCTTTGTTACTGAAGTGAATATAAATCTCACCAGCGATAAGTAGTCCTACCACTGTCATCATCCAGTCAAATGATCCACTGCCCACAACAATAGGGATCACAGGTTTCTTGGCTGTTTTCTTAGCATATTGAAACTCCTGGCGACAAATCTCATCCCTAAGGGTCAACACTTAGGAGTTAATAAGAAGTGTCCAGTATACTAACCGCAGGGGGACTAGCTCAGTCAGTAGGGCGCCTTACGGCAGAACAGGAGGTCACTAGATTGCAAGCAAGCTCTCCATTTATGGTGAGTGAGCCTGAGAACGTGCAAGCCAGCGGCTGCTCTTGCGTGACTTCTTGCAAGTTCCCCAATGGAGAGCTTGCCCCCAGACTAAGAGGGCACTGGTTCAATCCTGAGGTCCGAACCAATATTTTGGGTCTTAAAATAACCGAGAGAAATGAGAGTACTGCTTTGCTTTGCAAATGGCTACACCTTTCCATGGCTCAAATGACCATGTGAAATGACAGTCCTGTCTCCATTAGGAGACTTAAAATAGTGTCCTCAATAATAGCAATTTCCTGCTAAATTCATCTTGTGTTTTTTTTTAACTAAACGTACTTAAGTTATTTAATTTTATTTCAGACATTAAGGACCTCAAATAACTATTTAGTGGACCCTTACCAGACCACAGTTAATAGTCACACTAATAAAGAGTGCGAATAACCAAAATATGAATTATTAAATGAGCCAAAAATAAAACTGAATCAATCTAACAAGAAGAGCGATAGTAGAGATAAAACAACTCTGAGCCATTCAAAACCCTGCGGAATGCATTCAGTCACTTTTCACACATGCAGACAGTTTTTTTGCTCTGCCAATAGAGCAGCACTCACTTCACGTATTCATCACTGAGGCATGCCACAAACACCTTGGCTGTGTTTATCTCTTGAACAGTCTGAATCAGGGCGTCAGCTCCTTGTTTCTCCTTATTCAAAGTTACTCCACAACTTTCCAGTTGAAATCTGATGTCACGTGGGTCGCAAATGCTGGACAGTACGGCTTCGTCGTAACTGGGTGGGGCATCAGAAGGCATCACCTCTTGATTTCTAATAGCAGAAGGGCTGTTAACCTGTCAATTAAAACAATTTTATGCAAAAGAATGTTGACAAAAATCAGTTTGTGCCTTATGCGATTCCTGCAATGTAGCCAATGCAATAGACCTATTTGGCTAACTCAATGTTGTACCCAATTCAAACCCTTTGGGAATAAAATGGTTTGTTTCAGGAATTTCCATATCATTTAAATGTGAATGCCACATAATTCAAATACAACACAAAGAATCTTAACCCCGGGAGATTTGAATTGGGTACGACATTGAGTTAGCTGAATAGTTCTATTGTTTAAGTGCATGACAGTACCAAAAAGGTAGTAAATGCAAAATTAGTTGTTTTCGTGTAGTACAGGCTTTCAATAACTTTCGCCAAAAATTGCCACTTCACTGACTCTCATGCTATGTAATGAGAATCTTGTAGCATACAATGCTTTACACATTGTGCTGCAGGAAACGAGACGCGACTGTTGACTCATATTAATTTTAGCAAAAATGTAAACATTTTGACGGTGCCAAAAACTGTAAGTATCATGGTCAATAAGTTTACCTTTGTGTACGAAATGAATATGTCACATGGATTTGAGCGTGTTGCCCTACTCTGCTGGTTACTGGTTGGCTCAGGATTCTGGGCAGAAAGAATTTCAAGCACATTGGGGGAGATGCGGAATTGATGAAGTTCTAATCCATAGAAATAACGGTTATAGTCTTTGTACGTAATCCATTTGCCATCGGCATCGCTTTTGGTATGTTCACCATCATAACGTTTTTCACCTCCAGGGCCATCATAAACATTGGTTATTCTTCCCTACAAAATAACAAATAAGAAACATGATAATTTACTATCAATACAGACGAGCAACCATAAAAATAAAATAATTAAAATATTTTTATTGACCTGATGATAGCGCTGTCCACCAAGTCGCACACCCTCCTGTCCCTTGTACTTCCCTTGAGGAAACAGGACAACCGATCCAATGGCGATCTCATCATGTTCTGGTACACGATCCAGGGCCAGATTGTAGTAATCCACAATTCTGCCAGATGGATCTTGGTCGTCCCACACAATGGTGTACTGGAGTGTATTGGAGTCAAATGAGACAATGGTGGCTGTAAAATACTGCCATGGGCTCACCTCCCACATGGCTAGCACCTAGAAGAGATGGAATTTCAACACCTCAAACAAATTACAAACAAGTTTGTTCTATGCTAGGGAAATTACCTGTAGAATAGAACTGTATACAAATTACGCTGACTCATGCTTCAGTCATCTTTAAATGGGGCAAGATTGAGTAAAACTTCATTTTCATGATTTAAAATCTTAGATGTAAATCAAATTCATTGTCTCATTATTGTGGTAAAAAGCTTTTTATTTTCTACATGTACCAGATTTATAGAGAACAAAATGAAAATAGAACCAGGCAATGCAAAGGTCCAGAAAAGATCACAGATGTAAGGACAGTACTAATATTTTCAAGTTCATTTGGTGGTAGAACTAAAAAGTTCATATATTGAGCTAATCAATAATTTATTCTTACTGGATCTCCAACTTTGGGCAAATTCCTAGTTTTTGCGGGTGCACCTGGATTAAATGCTGTGGGAATGGACTAGAAAACACACATACACAAAAAAATCAGGTTAGTTAATTCACAATTCACAGTTTGAATGTCATACTTATTTAGCCTACTACGACATTTTAAGCCAGTTGGAAATAGTTTGTTTTGTCGGAGAAACATACAGAATGTAACCCCTCCCTTCACGCCCCCCGCAGAAAAAAAAAAAAAAACACTAAAGAAGGTTGATATCTTAGGGCCCAAAGAAAATGCTTTGAGGGGACCCTAACAACCCCCCACAAAAAAAAAAAAAAAAACACTAAAGAAGGTTGATATCTTAGGGCCCAAAGAAAATGCTTTGAGGGGACCCTAACATGAAAGGAATAGGGATTTTGGTCACAAAATCAAAGTTGATCTCCTAAAGGAAACTAACCTAAATAAGGCTCAACAGGATTTATTTCACCCCTAAACAACATAACACTAAAACAGACAACCCAAAAAAAGAATTGGTAAAAAAATAACTTTACTTGCATTAAGGATATTGACATCAAACACTTAACTTAAATCTTCACACAAATTGACAGCATTTGTATTAATGAACTTGAGACAAACTCATTATAAAATTAAATACCTGGGCTTGTTGTTCATTCTCATAGAGCTTCCTATTTAACTCCTCATTATTTAGTCTTAGATCATTGATCACTCTGTCCCTTTCATGTTGCTCCAGCTTTAGTTTCTCAATTTCCTGCACAAGAACCTCATGGCCACCATCTTCTTCTGTCATCTCATAACCAAACTCAACATTGTCATGGGCACCGTTAACTTGACCTTCCCGCAGTTTTTCATTTTCTTGATGCAATTTGCTGATTTCAAATTGCTGTGTTTGCTGTTCAAATCTCAAGCGGTCGATTTCTTGCAGGAGACGGGTTTCATTGTCACTGACTTGAAGGCTTTGTGATGATGGAGCACAACCCATTCTGACATTTAATTTAGTAATACATGCAGCTATTTTAAGACTGGTTAATATGATATTTCTTTGAACTTGCTCACGTGAAGGGCAGATGAAGTTTACATATTGCACATCCAACCATCAAACACTGTTATATGAAGAGTAAATAATAAAATAAATACACAAGTAATTAATATTACCTACTAATAACACTCCTTTATAATAATATTCATCTTTGCAGAATGAGGTTAAGCGCTCAGCGCTATAACTGACTCAGCTCCAGTCGCCTCTATTTGGACCGCACACAGAGGATGAAATGTGAGAAGCATGACCAAACACAGTACAAAGGGTAGTGGGAAGGAGAAAAGCCCTAATGTGCTCCCCATTATTGCACTTCTCTCGTTGAGACTGAGAGAAAACTGGGGAAAAGTTAGGCAGACTGTCCAACCATCCCCATTATTGTCTGGACTCTCCCAATTAAATATGATAATAAAAATGAATTCCGTATTAATCAAGTAAATCACACTTCTAATCCACACCTCAACAAAAAACCTGTCCTTTAAGGGACAGGTTCACGGTTCAGCACATGCTCATTAATTAAATAATAATTTATTACTTTTTTCCAATTTATTATTAATTATATCAGTTAACAATCCTACTCACATGTATCTCAGTGATCTCTGAGTGTATTTCAAAGTAGAAGTGTATTTCAGAAGTGGGATGGAGGAGAACTAAAAATTATCTCAGAAAAAATTAGTGGATTATGCCAACACTACCAATGCTTAATTTATTGTTGACCCAAAGGTTTTATTTCATGGTTGATGAATTTACAGCTATTTGCACATAAGTTGATCAAGTGACTGCTAGGGGAGTGTGCAGATTGGTTCTTTGACAACATTATGATAGGATCATATTGCTTGCATAGACGACAAAGCATCTCCTGGCAGAAAAACAGCATTTTGATCAATGAGCATGCACTGAACCGTGAAACCTTCCCTTTAAAGTAATTAAAACATTTTAAGTAAAGTCTGTTTGAATAATAAACTCACAGTTTTTAAAACGTTTAAAAAGGATTTCTTTCTATGTGTAAAACATGTACAGTTAAAAATACGAGTCATTAAAGGCACAAATTAACAACACTGACTATAATATTCTCAACACTCGATCACTACGATAAGGTGAACAGTATATAGAAACCATTAAAGAAAAGAAAATTTAAAAAAGTGAAAAAAAGAAAATGAGAAAATTACATCACTGTTTATCCGCTAAAAATCTCCCAATTTTGCTTGAAAATCCCCAATCCCGACCAATAGACCTTGTCACGGTTTTGGACGCTATCTTGATGAGTAGGCAAACGCGTGACAAATTACAGTGTTTGCATGAGAATCTAATGTCGAATAATTTCCGTAAAACAGCTCTTCTGAAAAAAATATGATTTGTAAAGTAAAGCTTCACTCCTAAGGATTCTACTGAAAAAAATCAAGGGCGTTACATGCACTAAAAGACCTAAAACGACTTTATAAATATTCTGTACATTTGTCTGTAAGAAAGTCCCAGGAAAATTACAGACAAATATATGAAAAATCTAAAGCAAGCCTCTAGAGTAATTTAAGAACAGGTACGCCCACAAAATTGTTTAGGACAATCCTTTGCTTTGTAGCTTTAGTTTACAATTGATATTTTTTCAGAACAGCCGTTTTGTGGAAATTATTCGACATTAGATTCTCATACAAACACTGTAATTTCTAACACGTTTGCCTACTCGTCAAGATGGCGTCGAAAACCGTGACAAGGTCTATATACGATCGGCATGGTATTGATTGAACAAGAGGAGGCAGTACATCTACTTGATCAACAAATGTTGAACTGTGTGTCAGCGTTGGCTTTAAATGCCAGTATAAGGCTATGGTGTTGGAAATATCATGCAGTCAGTCTCTGAAACGTTCTAATGCTGCTATGGTCCATTAAAGTAGAGAGCATTTCAGGATGAATGTTTCAATGACTCAATTTGTTTGCACTGAAAAAACGCTTGCAAAGAAACTGATCGTCACGCTGCTTTAATCGGCTATTAAATTGTTTGATCTGATACGCTTAAATTTCTGCTTACCCAATTCCTAGCCAACCACCGGAGTGAAATGGATGGATTTCACATCACATTTTCTGGTAATGCTTTTTTCACTTTTCCATTTCCCTTCCACGACGACGAAATTGTTTCACATATGTCAACAGATGTCTTCCTTCCCTCGTAATTTTGCGTAAAGAGGGGGTATTATTGAATAACCATCCATGCATACATTACTTTGTTAAGAAGCGATTTCCGTGGAAACCGTCTCAAAACAAAGTCAACCAGCTGAATCGAAGCCGAAGCACAGTGCCGCCATTTTGTAAATTAACGTGTGATAGACTGGGAACTAGAAAATTTGGTCGTGTAAATTTCAAAGATGGCGGCCAGGTGTAGACACGAGAACATGTTTTTCCACGAAAATAGTTCAATTTCCGTGTTTATCAGATAGAAAATCAACACGTCTTTCCCAATCGGAAATGGATGAACTTGTTGCTGATCTCAGTAGCGCTTTAGTTCGCACGAATGACCCACCATCGGCTCATTCCGACACAACGATTTGCACCAGAGAATCCCCTTCGGGAACTCCAATACGCAAGACATCAAGAAAACGAAGGGGTAAAAAGCGGCGATCGGACTATCCTCCCTCGCGAGAAATTCGCAATATTAGTGCAGAAAGCAATGATTCAGTGGAAGAGGCCTTGATGGATTACATCGAAAATATTAAGTGTCAAAGTGATTCTGATCCGGAGGATGAAATGTCGTTTACAAAACGTTTGTTGAAAGTGCAATTACATGGGCGTGATAATTTAGATCCCTATCCTGTCCCAGACAGGGAGAAGGGAGAAAGTGATTCTGTTAGTGAGCCTTTAGTTGGATTAACAAAACGCAGAAAAAAGCGAAAACGTAAGCATAAGCGAGTGTCTTCGTCACAATCGCTGAATGATCGCGATTCTTCCCTTGCCATGGTGAACTTAAAAGCACTGAGTCGAACGAGAAAACGCAAGGTATGTGGAAAGTCTGCCATCGGCAGTGAGATTCATAATAGCCTTAGACGCAGAGATGAAGAGGGAAGTTTAGCTGATATCGAAAATGGTTTGAGTAGTGGATGTGGAGAGCCCATGGAAACCAACACTTCTTCGAATCATTTCTACAAGCTGCCATCTAGACTGCAACGTGCTTCTACTTCAAAAACTTACAGCATACCCAAGGAACATAATGTACCACTTTCATCTTCATGGTTACGCTACGAAGACCGGGAAGAAAAAATGTCAATAGATCTTTTAAGAGCTGATCTATCTTCCTCGGGGGATAGCGATCTGGAGGGATTATTTACAAATGACGAGGGCTGTATGGGCGATGATGAAAAGGAAGAAAGCTCGTTTGAGTGCGATGTTAAAATAAGTCCATGGTGGGACGAGAAAACTGCAAGTGATGTAGAAGAAGAGAAATTCCAGAACATTGTAAATGGAGTTATGGATGGCTACAGAAGGCCATTTGTTTCTGGCATTGAAGGAAAGGATAGTTCAGGTAGTATAAAATTAATGTAGTCTTAAGTTTTGATAAAATTTTGATCAAAAGTCACTTACATGTAACAGTCATCTTGGCTTTGGTTACTTATGCACTTATCAGCGGCCTTCCCCTCCCCCCCCCCCCCCCCCCCCCCACCCCCCCCCCTCCTCCCAAGGGCGCAAAATAACAAAAAAAAAAAAAAAAAAAACTAATTTGGGATTTTTTTGTTATTTTTTATTCACATAACTTGTGTTTGCCTCCCCAACAAACTACTCCAACCAACACACCCTACTCACTTTTATAAAAAAAAAAATGGAGTTATTGAAGGCTAAAAAAAGCCATTTTTTTTTTGGAATGAAAGAAAAGATAATTTAAGTAATATAAAATTAATTTAGTTTTAAGTTTTTAAAAAATTTTTGTCAAAAATCACTTAAATGTAACCGTCATCTTTGGTTTGGTTACTTATGCACTTATCAGCGGCCCTCCCCCCCCCCCCCCCCCCCTGGATACACTGGTGGCCAGTTGCAAGTGGCTAAAGATTATCATAGAAAGAACCATAGATTTCTTGTGAAAGGTACTTTTGCTATGTTAGCTATGACAGCCCTGTGATGACTCCCCTCAAAGTTATCCAAGCCATGAATATCTCTGCCTTATAAATAATCAACAGCTGAAAAGGACAGCTGATGACAGCTGATGACAGCTGATGACAGCTGATGACTCCCCTTCAAGTTATCCAAGCCATGAATATCTCTGCCTCATATTCAACAGCTGAAAAGGATGAAACAAAACATTTTTGTGGTGCCTTTGTGTACCACCTAGGAAAGCCAATGCCAGCCAACATTCGTCACTTGCTCTGTCTGGCCTTGTTCCCAGTCATCAAACACAGTGCAAGGATCAGCCGTATTTAAACATCTGTGCACTCATCAACAGCTCCCCAACCCCCTTAACAACAAGCTGTAGATGATAAAAGTGGTTCTCATAAAGTTAATAGACATAAATTTGGTTTGACACTCCCCTCCCCCTTTACCAAGTTCCATCCAACAGTTTACAATCATGTAAAAGCAAAAAAATAATAGACATGACATCCTTACCTTTGTAGGAGAGTGCTTGAGTGCAAAAATCACTTTAACAAGAAGTGTAATTGAAATACATGTTTTGAAAGAAGATTACTAAATGCTGTACAAACTTGTTGTTATGCTACAGGTCTCCAAGGAAGGCTAAAGAAAAACCAAATTGCACATGGTCAGGTAAGGGATTACAAGACAAGCAGAAACAGAATTTAAGTAAGAATTGCGAGAGCTGAGATCCTGATTCTACTCTCTAGAGCTATGGGGTTACTGCAGCATGTTTGATTTTTTTTGGACTGTCAAGAATTTTCTAAGGTGGGGTACAGGCATTTTAGTTTAGATTCTCTCTTTGACAATAACTAATGGGGAATTACGTTTTATAATATTATGATTCTGTTTTGCAGTTTTTCACAATGGGTGATATCAACAGAAACATTTCAGTGTTTCTACAGAATGAAAAATGGACAGAGTGAGTTGTTCAGCATTATTAATGTTATTATTATTATCAACATCATCATCATCATCATCATCATCATCATCAAAAATATTAATATATTTTTTCAACTGATGTTTACACTTTTTTTAATTCATCTCAAAGTAAATGCATGGCCTTTAAGCTTTTCACCAAATGACATGCTTGAATTATTTTGCTTTCTCTTGCAGGCTTTCTATATACCCATCCAACAAAATGGAAGCAGCACAGGTATTGAAAAAACTCTGAGCCTTTCTATTACTGTCTTTTATTTGACACACCAGCATACCCACATTATATTCTTTGTTAATGCACAGGTGTACCAATGGGCATCTTTATACTCCCTTCAATGTCTGACAGACCCTGCCCATAGAGGAAGAGTTTTACTTCGCAAGACAAGGTGAAAACTAGTTTGTAGCATTTTGCAAAATAATATTACATAATTTATTTTACTGAGTGTATGAACAACAAAAGATCAAAGGACAGAAACCATTCTAATATTAGTTTTATGCCACTGAAAGGTTTGGGAAACTACATGTAGAAACTCTTAACTCTGTCATAATCATGTAGATTATTATTTGTTATCTTTTGTAGTCACTTGTCCCCTCCAAGACCTCACAGTCGCCCAGGAGCAGAATCAAAACGGCGTAGAAAGATGCCACCTCCTCAGTTTGATATATCACACAGTAAGTACAGTGTAGTGTTGTAACTTCACCTTTTATAGAAGGCACAGCGTCCAGAACCCTGAGTCTTTTTGTCTTTCAATTGCCTTGCCTTTAAAGATTGTTTTCAATTATTTTTTTGGTAAACTATTCTAGGTTATTCTGCACTGCACATTTCTGTGGTATCGTTTGATATCCTGTAAGTCTTAACTGTCAGGTTTATGAATAATACTCAAAAAAACATTCAACTGAGGGCTACAGTATAAAAACAGTATCCTTAGTACTGTTTATTACAGTGCAAACAGTTGTTCTAACAATCAAATGAAAGCATCTAAGCAGTACTTTCCTGTGGTTCCATTTTGTTATAAGACTTGATTGTGAAGACCATTCATATGAAAGCTCCTCCTTGTGTCAAGTATGATTAAGTCAGGGTGTGTCTCAAAAACTAAGTTTAAGTTAACAAGTGATGATGATGATGATGAAATCATGTTGGTTTTCTGTTACTGCTGTTAACAAACAATAATACTATTTATAGTTGTATTAAGCAAATTACTGACCTAAGTTCCTTTTTTTAATAGCATCAGTAGGCGGAGAAGCTGACCCTATACCACCTTCAAACATTGGCAATCAAATGCTAAGAGTCATGGGCTGGACTCCTGGAACAGGACTAGGATCTGAGAGAAATGGGATCAAAGACCCTGTGCGCGCTTATTTGAGGCCAAAGGGATTGGGACTTGGTCATCCATGGCCATCATGAGAATATAATTTTAAAATGTTTAGTTCCAGATAATTATTAACAAGAACTCAGGCAGTCACAGCAGATTGGTTATCACATTGAGCTTTATGGGCATAATAATGAATACAGTAAAACCCCATGTAGAAGAACCCAGATTTTTCCAACCTACCCTAAATAGGTTCTTACAGAAATTGTATCTAGTGGGATTTTAGGCTACTTATGTTCTTAAATAGGTTCTTAATTTAATAGGGGCACCAGCTATCATCACAGACTACAACTGAGCATACCGTATTTATTCGAATAAGCGCCCAACCTCGAATTAGCGCCCACCTCGAATAAGCGCCCATCCTAAAGGCAGAAAAAGTTAATAAGCGCCCAGCCTCGAATAAGCGCCCACCCCCTTCTCCTCCCAATCAAACTCAAATAGGCGCTCACCCCCACCCCACCCACTTGAGTGAATAAACTTTAATAAGAGACTTTCCCGAGGACAGAGTTTTCTTCAGAGTATTTTACAGAAACCTTGCTTTGTTACTATCTCGTGTCTTGTTATTAGCATTTATTGTTTTGTTGCAAAATAAACATACTTTACTTGCTGAAAATGGTGAAAATTTAATAAGCGCCCAGCCTCGAATAAGCGCCCACTCTCAAGGTCCAAAAATTTAATAAGCGCCCAGGGCGGTTAATCAAATAAATACGGTATGAGAGAGACACNAGAGACTTTCCCGAGGACAGAGTTTTCTTCAGAGTATTTTACAGAAACCTTGCTTTGTTACTATCTCGTGTCTTGTTATTAGCATTTATTGTTTTGTTGCAAAATAAACATACTTTACTTGCTGAAAATGGTGAAAATTTAATAAGCGCCCAGCCTCGAATAAGCGCCCACTCTCAAGGTCCAAAAATTTAATAAGCGCCCAGGGCGGTTAATCAAATAAATACGGTATGAGAGAGACACATGGATCTGTATTCTTAATAATTGCATTGTGTAATCCAGTATTGACAAAGACATGATATGATTTTCATTTTAGTTCACTCTTTGAATCTTATTGACTGAAACCTAGACTAAAATTTGTTTCCTACATTTTCATATTATGTGCCTTCATTTTTGGAAAATAAGAGCCTATTGAAAATTTTAGGCTAAATAGATTCCTATGAAAAGGGGATTTAAAGTGAACTGTTTAGCATAACAGGTTCTTACGTTTTAGGTTATTATATGTAGGTTGTTACTGTAATTTCTAGTCTGAGTAGCACTCACTTTTGTCTCCTTCTTTGCCCCTTGGGTACACACATCTTGCATGCCTGTCTCACTTGGTTGAAAAGCAGACACAAAGAACTGCTATATGGGCTTTTACATGAAATGTCCTGAGGTAATGTCTCGGAGTGGATCTGAACTGAAGACAGTATTACTTTCCTTTCTCCTTCTAAAGTTTGTTGCAGTCACTGACCAATCAACTCCTGGAAAATTATGCTACTTGATGATTTGAGTGAGATGGAATAATTTAATATTATTATGATGAAGTTTAAACCAATACAGATGTACTTTATAAGTGACCTATTTCACTTCCAATTATGTCATTGTCACTAAAGCTTCATATTTAAAAATCACCTTTCCCCTCCCACTTAGAAAGGGCAGGGAAGGTATATATTCAGTTAGACATTTGAAAGAAGAGTAAAGCAGTACTGTGGTAGGCACTTTGCAGCAAGTCATTCTTGTGTTATGAAACCTCCTTACTGGAGAACAAGAGATGTACTGGGAGAAGAAAAACAAAGGAAATTACCCTCTTAAATGATGTAAGTGTTTTGTTTGTCTCATCCCATGGCATCCCTTCCTCTCCCACATGACAGTTTTGTACCACGTGAATGACAAACTGCAAAGGGGCTTTTCCTACTGACCCCAGTAGTTTAAACTGGCATAACCGGTTAAATTACTATCAAGTGGATAAGTATTAGGGAAACCAATTGCGTTATACACTGGTTAAAAATTTATCCAATGGATAGCGTTATCCAGCCTTCGAACAACTGGGGCCTGGAGGGTAACTCCATAAGCCCTCAAGAAGGGAATATGCGGAAATTTTCTGGAACAATACTCATTGATGAAACAGCAATTTTTATTGATCTTGAATGTTAACTTAACCTTAAAGCTTTTAGTAAATTTGTATTCTTTTGCAAAAGGATGAAAAATTGAGTTCCTCGAGCTTTTATTTAAATTTTACAGCACAAGTTTAACAGATGGTGCTTGAATATTATTGTAAATAAAATTTATCACTTTATTTGAATTATCGTTGTCCTGTTTATGTTGCTGTCTAAAGCCATAAGTTAAACCATTTTATTTGTTATTTCAACTTAAATATAACGCACCCAAATGAAGCTTCCGATATATTGCAAAATTACTCACCAAATGGATTTAATTTAGACTGAATTCGAACACAAATCAGCCTCAGATTTATCCATAAGCTACAATAATATTTTTATTTCTGATTTGCTGGGAAAAGGTGTCCAATTTAAGCTAGAGTGCAAGGTACCACAAATCACCCTAAAATAGCGGCAGGTTAAAACTGCAAGTCACAGTTCTAAGGTGCAGGTTAGAGTACAGGTCAACTGCTTATCTCAGTTATTTGCAGTGCAGTGAAGTGACCTGCACTTGTGACCTGTGACCTGTGACTTGTGTTTTCTACCTTCCTGTAAAAATAGGATTTGAAATAGGCCAAAATATCGAAGAAGCCCTAACGTTATGCCTAAATACAGTTCAGGCTCTCGTACGTGGACCCGAGGGGGAGACTGTTTATAAGGGGAGGCTCCGCCCCGAGGTCCAACCCTCCAACCCTTAACCTTTCATATACCATTTTTCATGAAAAAGGTATCCCTTTCACCTTTCGTATACCTTTTACTGACTAACGATACCCCTTCCATATACCATGTTTGGAAATTTGCATCCCTTTTAACTGCTCTAAATGCACAGTCTTTTAAATAGCAATCAGTCACAAAAATAGAACGTTTTCTCTATTTTATACTCGTAAAGCAATAAAATTCATCTGTTACAGCCCTTCTGCGCCCTTTCACAAACCCAAATGCCAGATTTTCCCACCCTTTTATATACTTCAACGAGTGAAATCCCTACCCTTTCAAATCGCTTCGATCGCTGGATCGCTGGATCGCTGGATCGCTGGATCGCTGGATCGCTGAATCGCTGGATCGCTGAATCGCTGGATCGCTGGATCAATGGATCACCGGATTAATGGATCGCTAGATCAGTGGATCAGTAGATCGCAGGATCACTGGATAGGTGGATCGGAGGATCGGTGGATAGGTGGATCGGTGGATCGGTGGATCGCTGGATCGCTGGATCGCTGGATCGTGATCGCTGGATCGCTGAATCGCTGGATCATTGAATCGCCGGATCGATGGATCGCTAGATCGGTGGATCAGTAGATCGGTGGATCGGTGGATCGGTGGATCGCTGGATCGCTAGATCGCTGGATCAGTAGATCGGTGGATCGGTGGATCGCTGAATCGCTGGATCGCAAGATCACTGGATCCCTGGATTACTGGATCGGAGAATCGCTGGATCGCTGGATCGCTGGATCGCGGGATCTCTGGATCGAGGGATCGCTAGATCGGTGGATCGCTGGGTCCCTGGTTCAGTAGATCGCTGGATCGGTGGATCGCTGGAACCTTAGATTGCTGGATCGCTAGATCGCTAGATCGTTGGATCGCTGGATCGCTGGATCGCTGGATCGCTGAAACGGTGCACCGCTAGGTCGCTAAATGGGGGGATCGCTGGATCGGTGGATCGGTGGATAGAAGATCGCTGGATCGCTGGATCGCTGGATCACTGAATCGCTAGGTCGCTGGATCTCTAGATCGCTAGAACACTGGATCGCTGGATCGCTGGATCGCTGGATCGCTGGATCGCTGGATCGCTGGATCGCTGGATCGCTGGATCGCTGGATCGCTGGATCGCTGGATCGCTGGATCGCTGGATCGCTGGATCGCTGGATCGCTG